GGATTTAGAGGGTATGGACATTTTAGCCACTTAATTTGCATAATTCCAAATTGCTTGCCAAAATGGTTGTACCATTTCACAACCCCATCAGTAATGTATTAGCGTGCCTGTCTTTTTAACACAATCCTTTCTTGATGTAAAACCATCTGAGCTCATTGTGGCTATCACTCCCTTTTCTAGATGTTCTCTAACCAACTTTCCCCTGAATGAGACATTCTGGTTTTTGAAGCAAAGCTCCCTGGTCTATGTATAATTTGCAGCCCCCATTCTCTTCCCTTTCTTAAAAGTTGGGATATTGGTCCTCCATGTCACACCAGGCTCCGCTCCTCACTCTGCAGATTTGACCTTCACCGCCTTCCCTTTTCCAGCCCTTCAGTGTGTTGTATTGAGCCCATTAGAATGTAAACTCCTTGAAGGTAGGGACTTTTCTTGCTCGTGTTTGTATCCCCATCGCTTAGCCCAGAGTATACGCTTAATAAATGTCTATCTAACCCTGTCTGTGGTCCCTCTCCTGGTTGCCACAGAGAGGGATTCATCAGTCACATCTGTTGATTCTTGCAGTCGCCTAGGATGTAACCGGCTGAGCCAGGAGAGAAGTTCATCAAGGGCAGCTGAGTGATTCTTATCACTTTTTCCTTACTGTGGTTCTCAGCTGATCGTTGGTCTTTTTCTCCCATCTTTTCTAGTCCAGTGATCATTCTCAGCAGAGAAGACGAGCATGATAAAAACTCAGTGACTCTCCCTTTGTTGTCAGTTATCATTCCATCCATTCTGAAAAATGAGCCCTGCTCTTCAGAACTCTTTCCTGAAGGATAGACCCTCTTTTGGTTCTGAGTTTTGTGTGGCAGCCCCGAGTCTGAGTGTTCACGTTCCTGTTACTTCCTTCCACCTTGGTCTTTATCAGTTAATTATTGAGCTCCGCTTGCATCTAGTCTCTTCAGACAACTCCCCTTTTCCCTCCTCATCAGAATTGCTTTTCTTTTTGCATTCAGAATTACATTCTGAAGTTTCCCATGGTTCAGGAACTGGCTTCCCTTCTAGAACTTTTAGTCCACGACAGCCTACTCACCCTTCCATTGAACCATTTAAAATAGACTCTCTCAAAGTCTGGGGAGGCTGGGAGTCTTTCCTCTCCGCCTCCATCACAATTCCAAGAGGAAGTGGACACTTTTTTACAAGAGGATGAAAGAAGCAGCTTTATATTATAGAGCTATTATAGACGGCCTTTGCAAAGAGCAGAAGAGCTAGATGGAGGACAATAGTGGGAATAGATCAAGGCGGGAGGGAGTTTGAAGAGGAGGGACACTTGTTTGGAAGCGGTAGAGACAGCAGGATGGTAGCGAGGGCAATCTGCTGAAGGAGACAGGGTTGAAATGGATTGCTTGTGTAGGTAGAGGGGATGGTTGGCCTTGGTAAGAGATGGGGCCACCTTTGTGTGAGCCAGGCTTGAAAGAGAGTGACAGAAGAAATCTGCAATGAGGAAAAGGAGCTCATGTTGAATAGCCCCTATTTTTTTCTGTAAAATGTGAGACAAGGTTCTCCGCTGAGTGGGGGGAGAAGGAGCAGTGGCAGGTTTGAGGAGGAATGAGGTTTTGAAAGACCCTCTGGGGAGAGTGGGAGTGAGTTGATAAGGGAATAGTAGGAATGTGGAGTGGTAGGGAGGGCCCAGTTGAGGTTGCTTAACATGAATTCATAGTGAACCCCGTGAGGGCAGGTGTGTGATTTTCTTCATCTCCATTCGACAGCAGGTGTATAGAAGTGAAGGTGACAAATGGTGGGGGTGATCCACGGCAGGGGCATGGAAGGGACAGGGGGCCGGGGACTCGAGGATAGTGTCAAGTTGAGCTGGTTCACCAAGGGGTCAAGATGGGAGGAGAGAGTGGCTGGTGCAGGGGAGATGGCCTGGGAGAGTTGAGGGGTGAAAGGATTGGAGATCACGGTGTGGACAGCAGAGGGAGAGGTGGAAAGCCAAAAGATGGTGACCAGAATAGGAGAGGAGCACTGGGCTCCAGTGGGCAGTTAGGCTCTTGGCTCCATACAAGAACTTCATGAAATGGCTTTATGCTGGCTCAGCCTAAGAACAATCGAACGGACTCCCTTGGGAGGTAGTGAGCAGCCTATCATGGAGAAGCAAGCAGAGGTTGTACTGGAGCTTTAGAACTAGAAGGGTTAGATTAGGACATCTTCATGAAAGGAACAACCCCAGGGAGGGGAGGGGGTTTGCTGAGTTCACACGATAGGTATTAAGGGGCAGGGTCAAGATTCAAGCCTGTGTCCTGGCTCCCAATCCAGCATTCCTTCCCCATATGGATGGTTCAGTGCCATAGATAATGACTTACGTGGACCAGCTCTTTTCTGGGATTCTCAGGATCCCAACTTGGGTTACCCAGGCCTGGCTGAGGGCCTTCTCCCAGAACCCAGGGAAGCAGAACCCCTCCCAATGTCCAACTCCAACAAAGGCCTTTAAGACAAGTTTGTGGCCCAGCACTGCATAGAGGCCCCAATTTTTCCTGAAACCCACAAGCATGAAGCCAACTGGAGCTGAGTGGGCAGCAGCCATGCGTAATTCTCAGGGGCCAAACAATGCCTTATTGAAGCAGGCCTTTTCTGAGGGCTTAATTTGAATGCCCTTCTCTGTGCCTGCTAAAAGAAAATAACAGCACAGTAGAGGCCAAAGAGGGCCTTAGAAACCACAGGGGCCAAACCTCTCATTTTCAGATGGAGAAAGAGAGGTCTAGAGACTAGGAAGGGCTTGCCTAAGGTTACGCACCTGGCATTGCTGAGCTGCAACTTTAAGCCATGTCTTCTTTCTCCTAGCCCAGTATTTTTTGGACTTGAGGTACCACAGATTCTCAAAGTGCAGCGTGGTATGAGGGCTAGTGCTGGACCCCAAGTTCTCTGACGCTAGTGGGGTGGCCCTGGACTAGTCACTTCACCTGTGAGCCTATTTCCCCATCTGTGAAATGGGCACAGCATAACCTGTCATACCCAACTGAGGTTATTATAGGGTTCATGTGAAGCCACACATAAAACTCACCCCCATCCTTCAAAGGGTCCTGAAAAGGGTATTATGCTCAGCTGTATTTGGGTTGCAGAAGGATGCTTCCCCAAACTTTTCCTTGTTGCTGAGGAAAGAAAGAGGGTTGGGTATTGCCAAGTCGGGAGGCCATGTCTTCCCAGGCAGACAGGGCTAGCTGAGCAGGGTCAGACCTGCAGATGGTTGGCACTGGATGCGTGCCACTTCCAGTCACAAGACCAGCTCTCTCTGGCTCCCACGTTGGTACCTCATAGGTGGGTCACGGGAGGTGAATTGTCTTGCAGAAGTGCAGTGGTTTGCCCAAGGTCATGCAAGTGAGTGAAGACCCAGAGCTGTCTGGATTCTGTGGTCCGGCCCTCCTCCTTGCACCCCTCCCTTGCCCAGCCCGCAGAGCCAGGCATTCTGTGGGCATGGGGGGCCGGCTGACTGTCACCCAGGGAGGAGCCCACAGCGAGAGCAGCTAAGAGAGGGTACTTTGGGCTCAATTTCAGAAAGAACATGTTACTGGAGTCACAGCTCAGTCCTGAGCCTCCAAGCAGGGGCTGAATGGTCACCTAGGATCTAACCCTGGAAGGCCGAGTCCAGCCCCGTCATTTTACAGATGAGCAAACCGAAGCCCCGAGAGGTGCACTGGGCAAGTGCCCAGGGTCATGCAGGTACCAGCCAAAGCAGGCCTCTTCCCAGCTCTAGTCCACACCACTCTGCCTCATCAGGAAAGCTGGAGGGAAGATTCCTTTGGGGACACGGGCTGGCCTGCCTGGCTGTGGATTCCTTCTGACAGGTACATGATCCCAGAGTCAAGATCCCTGGATCCCACCAGGCTTCCAGTTCATCTCCCAGGCCCTGGCTGCATGAGGGTGGCCAGGTCTCTATCCCCCCCGAAGTGTGGATGAACCTCTTCTCCCCTTCTCCCATATTTTCACATTAGTCATGTTGTAAAGAATTAGAGCCAATGGGAGACATCACGAGAAAGAAGAAAACAAAAAACGAGAGAGCAAATACGCTTTGATCTGCATCCAGACTCCACAGCTCACTCTCCATCGTGAGGCCTTTGGAGATGTCTTAGATCCTTGCGTTGCTGAGAAGGACTAAGTCTATCAGAGTTAGTCATCGCACAACGTGGCTGTTACTGTGCACAACGTTCTCCTGGTTCTGCTCGATTCACTCAGCATCAGTCCATACAAGTCTTTCCAGGTTCTTCTGAAGTCTGCCTGCTCATCATTTCTTATAGCACAATAGTATTCCATTATATTCATATACCACAACTAGCTCAACCATTTCCCCACTGATGGACGTCCTCTCAATTTCCAGTTCTTGGCCACCACAGGAAGAGCTGCTATAAGAATGACTTTTCTCCCCTCCCCCTCCAATGAGTGCAGATGCACTCATCTCTGTGGGCTGCCTACCCCCAGCCCCCTCTGTGCAGCAGCACCCCCTCCCCCAGGACTACCATCTTGGGTAAGAACGAGAAACAAAAGATCCTTCCTGCTCCCTGGGTCTGCAAGGAAGGAAACTGGCCACGGGAGAGTTCACTGCTGGAGAAAGCTAGAAGGGGGCGCTACACCTTTCTTTCCAATGTGAAGCTCTGCCCAGTAAATGGTCCCACTTGGCAAAAGCCTATGGACTCTTCACACTTGGCAAGAGAGAAGCTTTACAGGGACCCAAGGGCCCTACCTCAGTTTCCCTCCTCTGATGAGTTTGTCTGCTTTCCCTCAAGCCCTGATGCACAAACCTAGCCTTGTTCTGCCTGGCCCACGGGGCAGGACCAGGAAGAGTGGCAGGGGAAGTGGCCAAGGGGCCAGCAGAGGCTGGAGGTGGGGACAAACTGTTGTAAAGATCAGAGCTCCCAGAATGGGACAGGCTGTCTCGGGCGGCGGTGTGCACCCCCACCAGCTTCAAGGAGAGGCTGGAAGCCCGCTCCTCTGGGGGCTGGTACAGGTACAAAGACACAAACACAGATGGCTTTTGTTTCCAGTTAACAGTCTTTTAGTCTTGGGGGAGGGGGGCACGTCTTGGGTACAAAGCATCCCTCCCTTCCCCCAACGTGGTACCCAAGGCTGCTTTTTTCCTCCTCTCAACATTTTGGGAAGTAGGAAGCTAGTGCAAGTTACTGTCCAAGAAGAAGGCACAGAACCCAGGTAGAGGAGCAGAGCAGGGGCCAGGTGAGATGCGCAGCTGCTTCCCAGAGGGAGGCCCAGGGTCCCGCTCACCTCCCCAACCTTCCAGTCACATCTGTCTTAAAGGCACATCCAGAGAGAGGGGCCGAGGAGCAAGCAGGGGCTGGACTAGCCCCGGCATGCTGGCTGACCAGGCCTTTCCTTTGTCTTCCACCAGCACGTGGGTCAGAAGAGCCAAGACCCAAGGAGTGCAGCCCAGCCCAGACGAGGTCAGCAGAAGGGTGGCCAGGAGCCTGAGCCTATCAACAGAGATGGGCTGGGGAGGCTGACAGGGCTCAGCTCCAGGTGCTGAAGGCAGAGGGGTTGCCGCCCACCACCACTCACATGGCCGATGCCCCACAGCACCGTGGCAGCTCTCCAGCACATGGGGGCGTGTAGCATGGTCAGTAGTGCATTTGCTTAACAAGTCTTTGGTGCTCGGGGTAGCAGCGTCTTCTTTATGTCCAAAGCTTCTGGTCCAGGGCAGAGCTGGAAGCAAGCAGCAGGCCTGGGGTTGGCTCTCTGTACCCTGGGCCCTAATCAAGGAGGCTCCTAGAAGGGATCCCCTCATGGCTCTCAGCCTCAGTCTCCTCTTCTATAAAAGGTCTAATAATGGCACCCACCTCCCAGAAGCATCACAAGGGCCAAGGGAGAATGGAGGGTAAGTGCTAGAGACACATCACATCATGGCTGTCAGAGACCAGAGCTGGAAATGGAGACAGAATGCGCTTGGCTAAGGTCACGGCTGCCAACATCAGGCAGAATTCTGAGGCAGGTCCTCCGATTCCCACCTTCCACGTGGGGAGGGGCCCAGAGACGCCCTGCTTTGGGCATCTCTCTTTGCACAGGAGAAGCCTGGACAAAGCTCCCACTCTGTTCAACACAACCCAGACGGGGCTCTGCGGCACAGAGGATGGAGGTGTTGCACTGAAGTGGGGGAGACCTAGGCTCAAGTCTGCCTCAAGAACCTTTTCAGCTGAGTGACCCCAGGTAAGTCCATTGGCCTCCAGGACTCAGTTCCCCCATCCACAAACGATCTAAGATCCTACTCAGGTGTGCACAGAACAGGCTCTGAATTGGAAAGCAATTCCTTGGACCACGACATGGCAGGGCCGACCAGATCAAAGCCCAGCCGAATGGTTGGATAAGGGGGACTTCACGTGGAGAGCTGAGGCAGGGCTCTGCTACTTCCGGGCTGTGTGACCCTAGCTAGTTCTCCTCTGGATGACCTTGGAGAGATCCCAGATTCCTCCCAGCTCTACAAGCTGTTTGCTCCCCCTCATCCCTGTCTAGACCCCAAGGACAGGCCATCAGGGTGAGGAGGTCTTGGGAATTTCTTGCCACAGTGCTCATCCCCCACAGGTCCCACCCAGCTTCAGGGACCCTTCCTAGGGCAGCAGCACTGAGGGAAGGGGGGAGGGGTTACAAGTCAGGCTCCCCACCCCTCACCCCAGCTGTCAATGTGGAACAACCACTCACCTCAGATGCCCCTGGGCTCCAGCACCAGCCAGTTCTCTGTGACCATCTGTACGTCCTGTCCACTCAGAGGCTCCCGGAGTCTTACCTTCACCTCCAGTTTGCCCCCGGTTGGCTTCCTGCCATCTAAGACCTGCGAAAGGGGCCAAACATGGAGAAGAGACTGACCCATTTAGGTCACTAGGCCTCAGGAGGGTCTCACCCCCCACCCCCAACCGGGCCTAAGGCTCTACAGATGAGGCCCCGACCCCCCTACCTCCAGGATCTCCCTGATTTCACACTCTCTCTCCAGCCGCTCAAGCTTCAGATGGGCCGTCCCAACCTGCTTATCACTTCTGAAGAAGGATCTGTGGATGGGGTGGAAAGGGTGGGTGAGCTCAGCCCTGCCCCATGGGGTGAGAGTGGCAAGGTACATGAAAATGGCCAATCACGGATCCCCAGGCCCAACAGGAAGGGAGAGGGCACAGGGCCAGGCCCTGCTTGGACAGCCATCAGGTCAACATGAGGAAGAATTTTGTAACAAGCAGCAAACAATATCCTACAGATCTGCCATGTAAGGTAATGAGCTGTCCATCCCCAGGGGAATTCAAGCAAAAGCTGGGCGCTCATTTGTGAAAGATGCTACAGGGGGATTCCCACTCTTCATCTGGCTAGGCCGGGAGTCTACCACTTCCCCTGCTGCCCCCCAGTCTTCTGGAGGCCAGATCTCACCCCTTGTGAAAAATCTCAAACTTGATTCCCTTGCTCTGGACCAGCCTGCGGAAGCCCCGGTGGTTCCGATTGATGTTCAGTTTGAAGAGCTGGTCAAACTCTGCTGGGAGGGGGGGGCATGAGAGAGCTGGGGGCCTTGAGCCAGAGAGGCCCAGCAGGCGTCGGGCCTCATCACCTTGTTCCGTACCCGAGGAACCTCGCACTAGGTGACAGGGCGAGACCGAGGGGCAGAGCCAAAACCTGCACCCACGGCCTCTGCCCCCAATCCCCCAATTCCTGGCAGCTGCCCAGAGGTAGCCACCCCTGGGCGCCAGGTCTCGGGCCCTCCCCTTCCCCTCTCCCACGGGTGCCCAGCATCTCTCGGCCTCCGGGGACAGGGCGGCTCTGGGGTCCCACCTGGAGAGTTGGTGTTCTTCACCACAGACGTCTTGCTTTTCTGGGCCTGGTCCTGGGGACAGACAGACAGAAGAGGGTGTCCAGGACAGTTAGGGGAGGTGGAAACTCTGGGCTCAGGGCAAGGGCTGGGCATGAGCGGCATTGGTGGGGGACGGGGCAGGATGACCTCAGAATGTTGGAGCTGAGAGGGACTTTAGGCATTGAGGCCGCTGCTCTCATGGTACAGATGAGGAAACTGAGACCAAAAGAAGGGAAGTGAGTGGTCCAAGGTGACCCAGGAAGCCAGATTCCTTGTCCACAGTGGGAGAACTGGCAGTGGCCATTTCTTTGTCCCCCTGCCCTTGAGGATCCCAGAGGGTCTGGGGGTTAGGGCAGGAGGCATGGGGCAGGGCCTTGCTCACCGAGCTGGGATAGTGGAACTCAAATCGAACAAACGCATCCAGGTCATCAGGAGTGACGCCTGTGCAGGGGATACAGGGGCAGGGCTTCAGCGCTCGGAGGCTGGGCAGCCCCGAGGTCCCCCAACCCCGCCCCCTGAAGGGAGCCCCAAGGGCACCTGGTGGGGCAGGGAGGTTCATGCCCCTCACGACGACAAGGTGCATCTCGGTGCTGCTGAGCTCTGAGAAGATCCTGGGGGAGACAAGGCAGACGGAGACGGCGAGGTGCCGAGGCTGCTCTGGGCTCACGCTGCCCCGGCCTCCATTCTCCTGCCCTCTCCACCCCGAAAGCACACACCTCACGGTCTGGAAGGTCTTCTCCTCGAAGCGGTGGCTGGGAGGGTCCAGGCCTTGTGCCTGCGCCAGCTGCAGCATCTCCAGCTGTTTCTTACGGTCCTCGGCCAGTTTCTCAAACCTGTCAGGGAGGGGCAGGCTGGAGCTAGAAAGGACCCCAGAGGCCGGATGGGCACAGCAGCCTCCCCGTGAGGGGATGGCCGGCCCTTCTTGCAGCCCTCTCTCCACAGAAGGGAAGCTCACCACCCTTGGGGACAGCCTGCCCCACTCAGAGACACCTCTCAGCATGAGGATGTTCCCTGCTAACCAGCCCCAATAGGCTCCGTGCTGGCTTCCTCGGTCGCCTGCTATGCTCCCCATGGCCAGGCAGAGCAAGGCTGACCATCATTCCCCCAGCAGCCCTTCGACGAGGTCCTGGCCGAACACCCCCACCTTCAGCTGACCCTTCTACAGTATCCCAAAGGGGACTAGGCCCCCTCCCCCACCACTTGAGGACCTCCCTCCTCGCCCCCTGCCCCACCCTTCCTCCCCGTTTTCCCTTTAGCACCAAGGCCCTGCCAGCATGTTAGAGACGGAAGGGCTCTCAGACATCAGATAAAGGCTGCCAGGCCAGGGCTGCCTACATCTGAACGAAGCCCTGCGGCCCCAGGCAGCGCCCCAACAGCTGGCGCTGGGCCACTCACCGCGTGGTTTCTGCCACGTTGCCCTGGTGCATGAATTGCTTGGAGTACAGCAGGCACTTCTGGAAAGGGAAGCAGAGCACACTTGCAGATGCCCCCTGGCCTCAGCCTCTGCCTGATGCCCGCCTGGGCTCTCATACTGGGAAGTCTGCCGTGACTGAGCCGCTATCTGCCTCCCAATTACTTTTCCCCTCATTTCTCCTCATTCTGCCCGCCGAGGCCAGCCCGAGAAGGTATAGCTCCTCTGCTGCTCCAGAATGGGGGGCTGGAAAGGAGCCCCAGGAGAGGTCCTGACCTCCTGCTGCTCCTGAAGCATCTTGTGCAGTTGAGCATACACCTCCTCAGCCTTCTGGGAGAGCCCCACCTCCTCGCGACGAATGAGAACAAAGCCACCATCCTCGTCAGTCAGAGGTGAAGACACCTGCCCCATCCCCAACATAGAAATGAGCTTGGGAAGCCTCCCAGAAGCCAACGAGCCCAACCCCTCCCTATCCACAGTTCATAGAACAGAAGCTCCCCGAAGGCAGAGCATGGCCATTTTTAGTGCCCAGAAAATGGTCTTGTACCCCATAGGCACTTCAGAAACCCCTAACTGGTTTAGATGCCCCCGAGTCCCCCGCCGGGTCCCCAGGCCCACCTTGGTCCCGCTGCTGCCCACACGGCCGCTGCCACGCACCAGGGCTATCTGCGCATCCAGTGCCTTTGCTGCCCGGAGGTGGACCTTGGCCTGCTCCAGGTCCTTGGCCCGTTTCGCCTGCAGGGCAGCTCGCTGGCACTGGAGTCTGCGGCTCTCCAGCAAGGCCAGCTGTTCCCGGGCTGGGTGGACAAGAGCCCCTGCTGGCCCGGCCTGGGAGCTCTGAGACCCCACTGGGGGCCCCCAGAGTCTTTCTTTACCCTCCCCAGGGGCCCTGGGTCCTCTTCTCCCTTCCCAGGGTCAAGGGCTTCCCCCCATGCCCTGGACAGGCTTACCTGCTGGGGACAAGGCCTCCTGGGAGGTAGAGCCCTTGGGCTCAGGGGATGGCACAACCGAGGGCCTGGCTACCTGGGGAGCTTGGCTAGGCCGCTGAGCCGGCTTCTTGGCCACTGGAGCCTGGGGCAGGGACTCTTCCTAAGGAGGTGGGAGAGGGTGATCACAAGAGCAGATCCAAATCCTGAGGGGGCCGCTGAGATCCCCTAGTGACTTCTCCAAGGTCGGGGGGTGGGGGTGAAACAAACCCAAATCTCTTTTAACTCCATATCCAAGGCTCTGCTTCCAATATATCACTGCCCTCACTATCACCCCTTTACAGAACGGAAAACCCTTCTGGTAAGAGGCTTGGTAACCCAAGGTGACCAAGGTAGTGAGCAGCAGAGTCAAGTTCAAATGGAAACCCAAGTGGTCGCACCATCTCCTGCCCAGGGGCCTCCATACCTCATCCTCGTCCTCATTCTCCTCATGGCCACCCAGAAGCTGAGCCGCCTTCAAGGCTGCAGCTAATGGGTTGTCCTCAGGGCCCAAGGGGGGCTCCAAGCCAGGGATAGGAGGGAAGCCTGGAGAGGAGAGACAGGAGAGGCCTGAAGGGCGAGGCTCTGAGCTGGAAGCCCCCCCACCAGAGTAGGCCCTTCCAGGAGTGAGAGGCTTCTCCCCTCATTCACCTCCTCTAGCCTTGACTCAGGCCTCAAGGAGCCCCCACATCCCCCTATCCCATTCCCCATCCCCAAGGGGCCCCAGCCTCTGACCCACCTGGGGGGACAGGAAGTTCAGCCAAGTTCACTTTCCGCCCGGCTTTGTGAGCTCGGATGGCCTCCTGGTATTGCTAGAATTAAGGCCAGGAAGAAGCAAGGGTCAAGGGTGAGATGAGCCAATGCCTCCTCCCCTGCCCCACTGCCCAAAATGCCGAGCTGGCACAAAGAGGGAGCGGGGGCTGCAGAGATGAAAAGCATCTAGTCCAACCTCTCCTTTGATAGAGGAAACTGAGGCACATTCTGCCCCCTCTCCAGGGCACAGGGAAAGAAGGAGAGTGGGGGAGGGTGACAGAGGAAACTAAGGCCACAAGGCCCCTGGCCCTCCCACTTGGGCTCCAGGGTATGGAGGCACACGGAGGAGGCGGAGGCAGTCCCCAGGGCTGAGGCAGGATACCAGGATTTTACTCCCAGACCAACCACTGACTTGTGTGACCCGGGGCAAGTCCTGCTCCCCTCCTCCCTCAGCTGCAGGGGTACCTCCCAGCTCTGCCACTCTATGGTTCTTTGAATGGCTTCTTGAGCGGTTCCTCATCCAGCCTGGGCTGCAGAGCCAGGTCCGTGGGAGGCCTGCCCATCACCCTCCCCACGCCCTAAAACATAAGGTCACCTTGGCAATGCGCTCGTGCATGCGGGCCTTCCGCTCGTCTCCGCTGCTTCTGGCCTGGGCTGCAGCTTCTTGGTACTTGCTTAGCCTCTGGCCCAAGGCCTCTAGTACCGTCTGGGGCTGGGGAGGGGCCACTGTGCCCAAAGAGGCCATCAGCCATTTCCCCTCCCTGACCCCAACCCTGCTCCCACCTACCCTGGGGGTGTGTGGTCCCACCACTGACCCTTTCCTTCCCTCCTGTGAGGCTCAGCAGAGGCCAGGCCAGGGCCCTGTCCAGTGTTTACCTGGAGCCCGGGAAGGGGCTGACATCACAGGCTTCGAATGCTCCAGGGGGCCAGGGCTCGGGGCCGGCAGGGCCTTCTGGGGAGCCTTGAGCTCTGGGGAGAGAGTGACATAGAGCCAAGCACGTCCCATAGCAGCAGGCCATCTCCTGAGCTGAAGTCCCTGACTGAGGCTTGCAGAGGACCAGGGCAGGAGCGGCCCCCTCTCTGAGGATCCACACCCTCCCCTCCCTCTTCATTCTGCCAGTGCTCTCTCTGTCTGTCTTTGTGCCCCAAGCATCCTCCACTGGGCCTTTCACACAACCACGTAATCAACATTTGCTGAGTGAAGGAAAGAAGAAGAAGAGAAGAAGGTGGGGGATAAAGCATGCGTGCACAAAGAGAGTTTTCTCTGCACAACTGGGACAAAACACTGTCCTGCTTCCCTCCCCAGGCTGGGCTGAGGCTCTAAGGGGCATGATGAGGCCCAGCTCCAAGTGTGAGCCCAGGGAAGGGAGCGGGGGCACAGGCTGCACCCGGCTCTGATCCTCCGGGCCGCTCACCTGAAGGGGGAGGAGGCATGCCACTCAGGTCCACAGGCTGCCCACTGTCCAATGCCTCCAGCACAGCACCAAACCTCTGAGAGAAGAGCCAGGTGAGGGCCTTGCCCTGGGGAATCCACTGCCCTATTCCCATGGCAGCCTCCCCATACCTCTGCCACCAGAGGGCCTGACCCGTCACCAACCCGCTCATCTTGAGCCCCAGTTTCTCCCTCACTCCCCGCCAGCTCCTAGAGGAAGCTGGAAGTATGACCCTGGGCAGTTCCCTGAGCCTGCATTTCCTCCTCAGTACAACGAGGTGACTGGACAAGGACTCAGAGACCACGTCCAAAGCCCTCGTGTTCCCAGCTCGAGGGGGCGCCCCCGGGGAGCAGCCAGGCCTGGGCCGCACCTTGCCAATCCTCATGCACTCTCGGGCCCGCTCCAGGTCTCCCTCCTGCTTGGCTTTCAAGGCGGCCTCTTTGTATTCTTTCTGCCGGGTTAGCAACAGCAGCCGACAGCCTGGCCAGGGGAAAGAACAGCTGAGGAACCAGGGCCAGGCCCGTGATCACTGTCCCTCCCACTCCTCCTGGACCCTGGGGAGAAGCCTGGTGTCTCTGAATTATTTTGTAACAAGAGGGATGCCCTCACTCCCACGCTGGGATGTTGAGTGAGAAAGGCAAGGCACTGACCGGGCTCCTGGAAACCTTGCTCCAGAGGTCTGGGGCAGCCAGGGGCTCCTGGACAGAAAGGGGGGAGGGGGCATTGATTTGGCTTTCACATACCTGGCTCAGGAGCAGCTGCTTCCAGGGGTGCTGGGACAGTTGGGGGGCCCGGGGTAGCTGAAGGTCCCAGTGCAGTTGAGGAGTCCGAGGTAGCTGGAGGGCCTGGAGAAGCTGGGAGTTCCCCACAGCCTTCACTTTCTGCAATTGGGGGCAGCTCTGGCCTCTTCCCACAGGCCACAGGGGGTGGGATCTCTTCCTCAGTGATTGTTTTGCCCTTTTTCACAGCCGTCAGCTGGGTCTGCAGGGTCTGCAGGAGGAGATCCCAGGCTCAGGACACCCACCCCAGGGGTCCCCTTCTCCCCTAAAACACACCAGGGAGCCCTCCCCTAGAGACTCTGGTCAGCTATGGTCAGCCACCCTCCTCCCCACAGGCTGCAGGTCTCACTCCCCACTTCCCACCTTCAGGCCTCGCTCACACCGCCGGGCTTTGGCCCCGTCCCCCGCCTCCTTGGCGCCAGCAGCTGCAGCCTGGTAATTGGCAATTCGCTCCTCCAGCAGCCCCTGCAGGCCTCCTGCCGTGGGCACCCCCTGCAGGGCACAAGGATCAAGCTGGATAAGGCTGGGCTAAGAGACCGGGACCTTTTTACAGACAGACAACTGAGGCTCTAGGACGGGAGGGGACTTAGCAACCCCCATGGCTAATGCCAAGCCCTGATCTCACAGCCCTGGTGGGTGCCATCCCCACTGTACAGGTGGGTAAACCGAAACCGAGGAAGCTCAGTACTCGCTCAGGGCGTGCACAGCACGCTCTTCGCACTGCCTGCCTCTCACAAGGGTAGGAGCCAGTGCCAGTGCCCCCCACCTCCCGCATACCCAGTGATACTGACCTGGGGGACTGATGCTGGGAGCACAGGCAGAGGAACATGGAGAACCCCGCCAAAAACCCAGCGCTCCAGGGACCTGGGGGTGGGGGGCAGCTTCCCTGATCCTCCAAGGCTTTATGTATCTTAATGTCTCCACTGGCCAACAGCCCAGACCGTGCCTCCCTTTCCCAGCTGGCTCCTAAAAAAGCCCCCTCCATGCTGCCCCTACTTCCCTGCCTTCCCCTCTCATCCAAAGGCCTTCTCTCCATCCTCACCCCTCTGGACCTCTCTGCTCGTCACCCTCCTCTCCCACCCAGGCTTTCCTGCTGAAGCTTTCTCCCCTTCTCCTCCTTCCAGTTCGGGGTCTCCCTGGGCTCTGGCTTGGGCCCCCTTCTCTTCCCTGTTCTCTCACTTGGTCCCTCAGCGGTTCTTGTGGCTTCCACAACGATCTCTGAGCAGACGGTCCCGGGGCCTAGAGCTCCCTGACCTCTCCCCAGCTCCCATCCCACGTCACCACCTGGCTTTTGGACACACTGAAGCAGACATACCACAGACAGCACAAACCCGCATGTCCAAAAAGACTCGTTCCCTTTCGTTCCCGGGCATCCTGTCCCTACTTCTCCCCTCACCATCAAGGGCGCTGCGCTCCTCCCAGACCTTCAGGCTCACAATCTAGGTGTCGCCCCCAGCTCTTCACTCTCCCCCAAACCTGTCTCCAAGGCCCGTTGGTAGCCCCTCTGCAGCATCTCTCTGCTGAGCCAGCCCCCACCCCAACAGCCAGCTAAGGCTCAGCCTGCTCTAGTCTCTCCCTGCTCAGGGGCCAGAGGACATCCTGAAACACAGATCTCCCCTACTCAAAAACCTTCTGAGTCTCCCCATCCCTGCTGGCCCTGGGGGCTGCTGCCAACACTTCCCTTAAGCACCCCTGCCAGCCACTGCGCGTAGACCACGCGTCACCTCCTGGCCCCCATGAGGTGCCTTTGCTGCTGCTCCCACCACTCGTCTTGTGATCCCTCCCTCTGGACACATTCTGTTTGGGGACCAGGTATGTTTCCTAACTGCTCTGGGAATGGAAGCTCCTCAACGGCAAGCACGTGTGCCCGCAGAGGCGACAGCTGCTTACTCGATCAAAATGAACCAAGCACCGCACGTGGAAACTGTTCAGAGCTCGGGTAGCAACTGAGCCCAGCTGCACACGGGCACGCCCAGAGCCACAGAGGCTGTTTACCTGGGAAGGGGAGCCCCCGGCCCCCAGCTCGGGCACCTCAAGGGCTACCGGGGCAGAAGGCTGCATGGGGGCCGCCACCTCTTCAGGGCTGCCTTGTCCGGCATCCTCCTCTCCCAGGACCTCCTGCAGCTCCGCCTGAGGGGACAAGAAAGGGGAAGGAAGCCTCCAGGACAAAGGCAGCCCTGGCCTCCCACTCAAAGGTGAGAGCAGCAGGGGCTTAGCCACAAACCTCGACTTCCTGCCTAGGGAGGGGACATGGGGGGTCTGGAGCCTGAGGAAAAACCTGGGTTCAAATCTCCTGATATTTACTTTCAGAAAACCTTGGGTGGGAACGTCCGCTCCCTAGACCCGTTTCCCTCAGTCAAGGCCTGGACTTGGTGGCCTGGGATATGCCTTCCTTCCCCAGACCTCAAATACCCCTGGGAAAAGTCCCACATAAGAATCATGAGAACTAGACCTGGGTGGTCATCGTGTTTGGCCCCCTCGTTTTACAGAGGAGGAAACTGAGGCCCGGGGAGGGCCCACCACTCCGGGAGGTGAAGCTTGCTGGCAGAGAGCGGGGTCCCCTGGCCCTACCTGCATCGCCCTGGTTACATACCAGCAGGTCTGTATCCGCCTCCAGCTCTTCGTCTTCCTCATCCGAGGCCTCGTCCCCCACATCCTGCATGCACTCAGCAGCGAGCTTGTCGATGTGGGCCATGGGCAGGGGAACTGGGGGTGCAGAGAACGTCCCTTAGGGCTGAACCACTAAGCTCCAGGCTCCCAGACAGAACTGGACCATGACAGAGGTCCAGTGGACCTTGGGGATTATCCAGTCCAAACCTTTCATTCAAGATAAACTGAGTCCCAGAGAAGAGAAGAGAAGGGTCTTGACCACACAGCAAATGAGCAGCAGCCTGAGACCTGAACCCAGGACCGCCAAGGCTCCCCCTGCCCCCACCCCACAGACCAGGAAGTCTAGCTCCGAGGTGCGGGGGGGGGGGGGGGGCGGCCTAGGCTACAGCCAGGAGGCCCTGGGGGCTTTATTTACCCCCAGCCAGCTGCTCTGCCTCCTGAGTGGCTGGGCTGGCTAGGCTGGCTGGGAGAGCCCCACCCACACCACGGCTCTGAGGCCTAGAGTGAGACACTCCCAGGACCACTCAGGACCAACTCCAACCACCTCCCCTAGCCTGGCCCCACACAGGAAGCCCGCAGTGCTCAGCTGCTTTAACCTGAAGGAGAGTCAGCCCGCCTGTGTGGGGAAGGGTCACAGTGGGCAAGTTCTGCCATCCCTGGACTTCCCACCCCTCAGTCTGGGGGCTGTCCTCAGGTCCCACACAGCAAGGGCCATCCATGTGTCAGCTCCTGGGAAGCTCCCTAAGATGCTCAGGTCAGCACCCCGTCTGGCCTCCTCTTCAGGAAGGGCCTCAATCCCACACCAGCCCAAGGAGAGGTTCTCGGGCACAGAGCCCTGGGGCCCAGCTCACTCAAAAGATGACTAGCCAGCCATCACTGACCCACTCAACTCACAAGGATCTAGTCATAGACACTGGGGGGCCAAGAGTGCACACTGGGAACGGCCCATGTGGAGGAGATCCAAGGCTGGGCCTCTAAAGGACAGTAGTGATAACAAAAGAAACAGCCATTGTGAATAGGGAGGCAAGAATCTCACTGTCCTCCAGCCTGGTGGAGTCATGGAGATGGTAGAGGCAGTGTGGCCTAGTAGACCTGGGTTCACATCTAGCCCCAGGTACTTCCTAGCTACAAGACTATGGTCAAGCTGCTTTACCTCTCTGGCCTCGACTCAGTTTCCTCAACTATCGAAGGAGAGGACTGGACTTGATGAGTTCCAAGGTCCCACCAGCCTGAAGCTGCTAAGCCCGAGACCAGTCCTGAGCCTCATGGTTTAGGAAGGACGCTGATAAGCTGCAGAGTCCAGCAGAGAGAAGATCTCAGGGCTCATCTGGGCCTCATTTACAGACTAGGAAACTGAGGCCCAAGCTCTGATTTCCACGGGGCCATTGTGACCAGTTGTGGGGAGGGGGTTATCAAGTCCAGGCCATGGAAGGAACTTGAGCTGAGAAGACTGAGAAGAGTCAGGACCAGAAGGGCGGCCTGGCAGAAGAGGCTCAGTCCCACTTGCCTTGGCCCCTGAGGGCCTTGAGCAGCAGGGGAAGACATGCCTAGTAACCAAGAGGGCTGGGCCATTGTGTTAGGTGGTGAGCTCCCAGAAGGCAGTAGTGGCCCCTGGGGCCCAAACACCTCCTCCACATGTGGTGGGCAGAGCACCAAAAGCACACAAGACCAGGCTTTCCCCAAACCCATCTTCCCCTGTGGCCTAGGCTTTGTGCCCCAGCCTGGGGATTCTGAGAGGTTCAGTGGCCACACCCAGTCTTGGCCCTGGCCCCTGGCTCACCTTTCCCTTTGGGCCTGGCCTTGCTCTCTGGGGCTCTGGTGTCGCCAGTGAGGGCTAGCAGCTCTGCCTCTAAGTCTCCGTCATCCTCCTCGCCATCCTGGTCCTCCAGCAACATGTCTTCTGGACTGAACTCCACAAAGAGCCCCAACTGTGGGTGGGAGAAGAGGAAAGGAGGGGAGAATGAGGAGGGGCCCAGGTCAGGGGGCTAGAGGACTTTAAGATTCACAAATTGATCTCAAAACAAGCATTTATTAAGTGCTTGCCAGCCCTGTGAGGTAGGTGCCATTATCATCCCAATTTTCCAAATGAGGAAATTCAGGCTCAGAGAGGCTGTTACATGCCCAAGGTCACACAGCAGACCAGGATCTGAAGTTAGATTCTTCCCTGGTCTGACTTCAAGTCCAGTCCTCCAGCCACTACTAGGACACAAGGACTTCTCAGTCCAACCCGATCATTTGACATATAAAGAAACTGAGGCCCAGTTTAAACGACTTGCCCAGGATCAAAGAAGTGGTTAAGATCAGGGGCAAGATTCTAAGCCAAGTTTTCTCCCTCTAAATCAAGGGCTCTTCACCCAGGGTCTGTGAACTTGTTTTTTACAAATATTTTGATAACCATATGTCAGCATAACTGGTTTTCTTTGTAATCCTACGTACTTGGTCCAGGACACAAACAAAGTGGCCACTGAGTCCAGGCCCCAGGCCTTGCTGTCCCTGGAGGAGGGTCCCCCTCAAAGCTGAAGCCTCCTGTCCTCAGATGCTCCCAACCCCCCTCCCAGCCAGTGACACGGGAGGGGACCTTCAAGGGAAACCTGGGCCAAGGGCCATCTTGCAGGTAGGACCGGAGGTGAGGTAGGGCGAGGCGGCTGGGGGGGGGGGGTCAGTGCCACACCCCAGCTCAAGCTCAACGAGACCAACCCAGAGCTCACTGTTTCCTCTCCCAGAAGCCTCTGCTTTTCCACATTGGCCTATTACAGTCAAGAGCACAAGCCTTCACTCTCCCAGTCAGGTCAGGCTTGGTGTCATCCTCAGTCCTCCTCACACTCATCACACACATCCTATGTGTGGCCAGGCCCTTCACCACACTGGTAGCCCTCGTAGCTTCCCACCAGGTGACTGCAGGAGCCCTAAGTGGCGTCCCTGCCTCCAGGCTCACTCCTCCAAGGCCTCTCCCAGCTCCAAATCGGTGATCCCAAATGCACAGATGGGACTCACGAGTCTAACTCCAAACCCTCAGCGACTCCCTGGCCCTTTCCAGGCAAAAGCATAAAACCTCTTCTGGTACTGCAGGGTCTTTACAAGAGGGCCCCAGCCCACCTGGCCAGACCCATCTCATGTTCTTCCTCTCTCCAAACTGGCCTTGGTCCTGCACTTCCCCTCCTCTGCTGAACGTCACTCACCCCTTACAGGCTGACTAGAATGCCACCTCTGGCCTCATGTGCTCCTGTGTATTAGGGTCTCCTTTCCCTATGAGACTGTGAGCCCCGGGGGGCAGGGTCCCTGCTCACTTAAACTCAGCACCTCAGCGTGGTCTAGTTGCTAAAATGCTAGACTTGAACCCAGGCAGACCTGGGTTCAAATTCCATCTTAGATATTTTTACTAGTTGTAAGGCCTTGAGTAGGTCACTTAGGGGCTGGAGATGGGGTCTGTCAGCAGGGCCTGGGGCAGCTGCAGAGGAGGGAGGGAGACAGCCTCTCCAGCTCACCAGCTGCCTCAGTTTCCTCAACTGTAAACTGTGGCTAATAATAGTATCCACCTTTCAGGTTGCTGAGAGGATCAAATGAGATGAAATTTGTAAAGTTCCTGGCACATGGTCAACACCAAGGGAAACGTTTAAATTAAAAAAACAAACAGGTATACAGTAGGCACCTAATGAATGCTTGTTTCTGTTCTACTTCCTGACCTGACAGGTCAGTTTTTTCATCTGTAAAATGAAGGCTTAATGGCCTGCAAGGTTTCTTCCGCTTCTAAATTTAAAATGACCTTATCCTATTCAAGAAATAATTTCTAAGTCCCTCCAGTGACATCCAAGACCTGGTACTGATGCTGGGGTACCCCAGGGCTCACCGAACCTCCCGGACTTCTCCTTAGCACGCCCCTCATTCCCCACCGTGTCAGCTAGTCCTGGCCCTATCTTTCCCCCCTTTCAGAGGATCTGGGGCATGACTTTGTATCCTTAGCACAGAGTGTTGAGCCTTGCCCAGAGCAGGTACTTAATGAAGAAAAGTGCCTGCCTTCAGGGAGCTTCCACTCTAGCAGCTAAGGCAGCAGGGTGCTCTGTGCACAGCAGGGGGTTCACACATCACTGGGAGAAGGAAAAGATGGAGGGACGGAAGCCACCTGGCCTCCACCATTCACGTTGCCTTTGTAACCTCCACAGACCGCAAAGCTAGGCTCCCAACCCTTCAGGGGCAGCCCAGGCTGACTGGACGCCCACATGGCCAGTGGCTATTGCCCACAGCCAGCAGCTATGGCTCTCGGGAGAGCCCAGAGGATTTCCAGGGGTCCCTAGCTTATCAGTCCAACCCCTTTATTTTACAATCAAGAAAGCGAAGCCCACAGGAGGGTAAGGGACTTGCCCAAAGTGACACAGGTGCGTGGAAGCAGAGGAGCTGAGGTTTGAACCCAGGGCCTCTGATTCCAAATCCAGCCTTTTTTCCATTACAACCCGTGGAAATCACCTACATGGGGAACAGGGTTCCCTGCCTTTCAGAGGAGGAAAACGAGATTTATTCCCGATCACAAAAGCAACAAGCCACGATTCGAAGGCAGACTATGCCTGTGCTATGCCAGATGCTCAGGCCAGGCTCTGTCCCTGCTGGGCCCCAAACATTCACTTTAGAGACTGATATTTTCATTAGAATCTCACTTTTTCTTTGCTTTGCTTCAATTCCCGGCCTTTTTTGTGCGCCTGGAACCAGACATCCCCGCTGGGAGAAGTCAGTGCAGAAAGCGGGGCTGGAGCTCTCCGGGGGGTCGCTCAGGACCCCAGGCCGAACCCAGCGAGGCCGGAACCTGAGCTGTGCCCTTCTCTGGGGGCCTCAGTTTCCCCCTCTGTAAAATGGGGAGCTGACTTCCAAGGGCCCTCCCGGGAGGGGGATGGCCCTCCTCCGTACCTGCTTGGCCGTTGCCACCCCCTGGCCTCGGGCCTGGGGGCCCTTCCTGGGTCTCTGTCCAGGCATCTCGGCCTCGGCTGCCTCCTGATGTCCCTGGGCGGGGGAGAGAATCGGGGAGGCCCCGCGGGGCCCTTCGGTCTGAGCCGGAGCCGGGGCCCGAGAATCTGGAACCCTAAAACCCAGGGAGAACCTTGGTGAGGCCCGAAGCTCTAGAGCCGGAGGGAGCGGCTGCTGCCGGCCCCTCCCCGCCGCGGATCCTCAGGGGCCCGGACAGCGAGAGACAGGGGGTTGGACCACGTGACCCTTCGGGGGACCCTCCCCTGCCCACATCTGGCGGCCCCGGCCTCCACACCTGGCCCCAGGTGGGCCGCGGGGAGAGGGTACGACGAGACAGGGTGCGATGAGGAGGGGTCTGCACTCACTCCGCTCGCCCCCGGACGCCCCCGCACCCCGGCCCCGAGCCTCCTTCGCTCAGGTCCCCGCTGAGGCAGCCGGAAGCCCCCGCAGACCGCGCGCCACTAGTCCTCCTCACCTCCCACGTGACCCCGCGGGCCGGGCGGCGCCCAGTGCGCACGCGCTCTGGAGAGGGGCGGGGCCCGGGACGCGCGAGGGGCGGGATGATGAGACGAGGAATGCGGAAGGGCGTGGCCTGAAGCCGGCAGAACCACAGGCCCGAACGCCTGAGGGCTGGAGGGGCGGGGCGAAGAGTGTGGGGGGCGTGACCAGGTCCGGGCCTCGTTCTCGGGGAGGGGAGCGCGCTGTGCGTTGGTCTTCCTGCGTGTGCGCCCCGCCCCCCACCCCACCCCCTCCGCCGGTGTGGAGCCGGGTTCGAGGGGCCGGTGGCGGGCGGGACAGCCCAGAGGCAAGCGCTGCTCTGTTGGAGAGCTTCCGGGGCGGGCTCAGAGGAAGGGGAATGCTTTCTGCAGCTGCCGCCCTGGCCGCCCCCAATCCCACGAATAGGCTGGCTGGGAAACGGTGCTGGGGGTGGGGAGAGTGCGTTGCCTGCGTGTGAAATGGGCGTGCACTTATTAATCGCCTGCTGTGTGCCAGGCCCCTGCTCTGGACATGCAAACATGATATAGACAAGAATACATTGGGGATAATCACAGGCAAGGTTTCCTGTAGGATGTAGGATTTTGGCTGGGACTTTGAGGTGAGGGGGGGGCATTCCTGGCTGGGGGCACAGCCAGTGCAAAAGCCTAGAGTCTGCGGACAGATGGACTGTCTTGTTTGAGGAACAGCCCAGGAGGCATGGCTCCCTGGGTTGCAGAGGCTGGGGGCGGGGGAGGGGAAATTGCATCAGACTTTAGCTTTAAGGTGGTCAGTTTTAGGCTGGACTGGAGTGGGGACAGACAGGAGGCAGGCAGACCGCCCGGACCCCAGCTATTGCAGTTGTCAGGTGTGCACCACAGTGGGGGCAGGGTCAGAGGAGAGAAGGGCAGTGTTGAGATTCTAGTGGACCCGTTCCGGGAGGTTTTGTGATCTCCATTCTCAGCAGCATGCGATAGAGAGGTGGGGGGAGGGTGCGAGAGCAGGAGGGGGCCAAGAGGAGACAGCTTTGAATCAGTCTGGCTCCCCAAGGGGTCAAGATGGAGAGAGGAGGCGAGGGAAGACATGATTCTGAGAATGGCTCCATGGGCTTCTCCGGCCTCACTGCCAGAAGAAGAGTCTACACTCACTCGCTGGTCATCTTAGCTCCACGGGCTCTGTGACTCCCAGATGTCTACCTCCAGCCCTCCGGAGGGGATTGGTGTTCAGGTCTGGGGCAGACCGATGGCCTTGGAGGGCCCTTCCAGCTCAGAGCTTCTCTCACAAATGGCAGCCTCCCGGCTGCTGTCCCTCCCGTTAAGGAATGCCCAGCACGACCCAACAGGAAGGCCCTGAAGACTCGGTGATGAGGACGCACCCCTATACCCCCCAGAAGCAGTCTGCTTATCTTTGCCCAGCTGTAGTCATTAGTAACTTGCCTTTACATTAGTTTTCCTTCATTTGATCCCAGATCTGCTTTTGGGACCAGGTAGAACCTAATGCCATCTTCCCCATGCCAGTCCTTCTAAGGCTAAAATTCCTCCCATTTCCCATAGGGCCAGACAGAAGACACACTCCACTGGGCTTCTCCTGTCAGCCTTGGTATTCTGCTTTTGTCTCCACCTTCTGTCCTTGTGATGGGACGATGGAGCCATGAACTCCAGACCCATTTAAGGAGGGTCCCAGGTCATACGATTTCTTCATTTCTCTCCCAGTCGCCCCACTTTGGGACTTCTCTGACTTGACTGCCATCCCCTTTTTGGCTTTCTTTTGTCTCTTCCTGTTAGATTGGAAGCCCCTTGAGGGCAGGGCTGTCTTTGTTTTGTTTCTGTATCCCTACCGCTTATATGTGAGGCACTCATAACAGGTGTCTAATAAATGTTTACTGGCTGATGATAGCATTTATATAGCACCTACTATATGCCAGACACTGTGCTAAACACTTTATAGATATCATCTCATTTGAGGGCAGCTAGGTGATGCAGTGGATAGAGCTTGGGGCCTGGAGTCAGAAGTCTCATCTTCCCGAGATCAAATCCAGCTTTAGACACTAGCTGTATGACCCTGGGCAAGTCATCTAACCCTGTTTGCCTCAGTTTCCTCATCTGTACAATGAGCTGGAAAAGGAAAGGGCAAACCACTCCAATATCTTCACCAAGAAAACCCCAAATGGGGACATGAAGAGTTAGACACAACTGACGTGACTGGGAAACAGCAAACCTGAAGGCAGTAACCAAACTCGAACTATTTAAAGAGTGGTCACACGGACAGACTTGTTCAGTCTGGCCCTGGAGAGGAAAAACGATGAGAAATGGGAGGAATTTACAAAGCAGAAAATTCAGACTTGATGTCAGGAAAAAACTGAGCAAGAGAAGGCCCAAAGTGGAGCAGGCTCCCCTTTATTGGGGTAGGCTTTTCAGAGGCTTAGGGGATTCTTGGCAAGCTCCATGAGGGCAGGGCGCATTATACTTTCTGTGTCCCCAGGGCCTAGCACAGGGTAGGCCCTTAAATGCCCGATGGATTGGACTGTTCAGGGATCGGCTAGAGTCTGGGCTCCTTTCCAACTCTGTGTGGGGTGGAAATAGCAGTAACAGCAGTAGGCCTCTTCTTGGGTCACTCCAGGGTTTGCAGAGGACTTTGTGGGTGTCACTTTTTGGGTCCTCACAGCAGCCGCCCAAGCCGACAAGCTGTACCGGGCCATCTTGCCCATGTCAGAAACACAGGTCTGAGTGGGCTTGGAAATTTTAGCTGAAGCCAATGAACAAGTTCTTTTAGGTTTTCTCATTTTAATAACTTTTTAAAACAAAATTCCAATTAAGCATTTACTTTCTCTTGACCCACCCCACACTGAGGGGAAGAAAGACAGAAAAAATTCTGGTAACAAATATGCAGAGTCAAGCATCCACACATTTCCAAAAAATGTGTCTTATTCTGCATCTTGAATCCATCTTCTTTCCGTCAGGTGGGTAGCAGAGATTATCATCAGTCTTCAGGAATCAGGTTTGGCTACTGCACTGAGTTCCGAAGCCTTTCCTGGTTCTGTTCACTTCACTCTGCATCAGTTCATACAAGTTTTCTCAGATTCTCTGAACTATCCCTTTGGTCACTTGCTACTTGTACAATGGCATTCCATTACATCCATGTACCTTAATTTGTTCATTTCTTCTCCTAATTGATGGGCAACCCCATAGTTTCCAGTTCTTTGCTACCACAAAAAGAGTTACTGTTAATATTTAATACCTATAGGTTCTTTCCTTTTTCTCTAATCCCTGAGTTAAGGCCTAGTGGTGATGGTACAACCAGTTCAAAGGAATTACAGTTGAGTGATTTTCATGGGCAGTTGCAGATTGCTTTAGAGCAGTTATTGTATTCCTGATAGGTGTGAGGTGGAACCTGAGAAGTGCTTTAATTTGCATTTCTCTAATTACTAGTCATTTAAAGCATTTTTTTTCATATGGTTGTTTATAGCTTGGATTTCTTCCATTGAGCCTTTGTCTTTTCCATCATTATCTATTGAGGAATATCTCTTGGGCTTATACATCTAAATCAGTTCCTAATATAACTTGGAAATCAGAAATTTATCAGAGAAACTTCTGTATAGATTTATTCTCCACTCCTCTCCCCATTTAACTTAGCTTCTAATTTTAGCTGCATTGATTTTATTTAGGCAACTTTTTTTAAAAAAAAAATCAAAATTCTCCATTTAGTTCTGTGATCCTTCCTATAGATGTCTGAGAAGACATTTCTACCCTGTACTTCTAATTTGTTCATGTGGCCTTTTCTAGTCATTTGTCTATTTGAAACTAATGTTGCTATATGGTATGAGGTATTCATCTAAGACTAATTTGCCACACTGCTTTCTAGTTTTCACAGAAGTTTTTGCTGAATTGTCATTAACCTAATAGCTGGGGTTTTGTTTTTTTTTGGCTTTATTTAATATTAGGTTTATTTGCTTCTCTGTGTTATAAATATAATTCCACTAATCAGCCTGTTTTCTAATCGGAAGCAAATAAGTTTTAATCAATGCCTTGCAGTGTAATTTTTTTTGCTTATGAATTGCTCTCTGTATCTATCCTCCTTCTCCTTGTTCCCCTCTATTTTTAGTTAAGGTGAATGTATTTCTACACCAGCCTGTGTGTGTTTGACCCTCCTTTCACTGGTTCTGTTTAAAGTGAGGCTTAAGTGACCCTGTAGGACTGTGTTACTTGTTCCTTTTTTGTAGTCTACTTGTGACGTGAGCTATAACTATTCTCCTTCCTCCTTTTTTCCCTAGTGTATTCCTGAGAAAAATGATTATTTTCTTCTGTTAGTAACCAGTTTCACATATGGAACCCGTATATTCTTTTTCTGATTAATAACAAATTATTAGATTAGTTATTAGTAGAGTTCTTTCTCTTTTTACCTCCTTGTTCAAAGCCAAAACCCAGCCCTTGTGAAGGACAGGGCTGGCAAATGAAACATTCTCCTCAATCTTGGACAGCTTATTTCTGATTAAAGTGTAAAGAGAACCTAATTTAGGTGAATTCTGGCCCACTGTGTTCAATTTAAGTGATCTGGAGAGGAGTGGAGTCCCACACATAGGATCAAAGCCCCTCATTACCCAGAAACACTATCTCTCAGGCTTTTCATTCACACCATTTCCTGCTTTTAATTTTTTTAAAATCCAGTTTTATTTGAGGTTCCAAATTTTGACTGACATTCCCTAGTTTTCTTCACGAGGTGATTGGCTTATTTTTCCCATGTTCACTTTGCTCTCTGGTTCTAAGAGTTCTGAGCAGCCCTTCCTTCCTTATTTCAGACTTACTCAAATATGTCCAGCTTCTTTTTGGTCATGGATTTCAGGTAGTCCAATAATTGTTAAATTATCTTCCATTCACTTTTCCCCCAGGTGAGTTGTTTCAGATAGGATACATTTTAGCTGGTATTTTTTGTTTCAGTTTCTTGCTTAATAATTTTTTGTACTTTTGGAACCGAGCTGTTAATTTACCTTCCAAGCCTCTCCAGCATTCATTTCTTGTCCAATTCCTCTAGAGCCGTCACTTAATTTGTAGAATCATTTTTAACTAAAAAAAAAAATTCTCTCATGGTTTTTCAGGATTTTAGTTGATCTTGTGACCAAGCTGTATTTTATTTTATTTTGTTGAGGCTTTACTTGTACACGGAGGGATTCTCTTGTGGGTTGTCATGGGCATCCCTGTCTCTTTTTCTTACTCATCTTCCCAGCTTTATTTCCTAAATTAGGCCAAGTTCTATGAACGCCTGGAGGAAATGTCGGGGCCCTGTGTGTATTCCGTGCTGTCCTGCCTCAATGTTCTCTGGGTAATGAGTGCTTCGTTCTTCAAGGATCTCGGGGACAACCCAGGAGTCTTTCAACAGGGCCTGAGTTTGAAATCTGTTATGTACAATTTGGATTCAGTCAAAAGGCTGCACTTAAGGATCTGGAAGGCCACATGTGGCCTAAAGGCCGCAAGTTCCCCGAGTCTGGTCCGGAGAGTTGAAAACTACTACCCTCCTCCCTTTTTAATTGGTTGGTTTTTACCAGAAGCAATCACCAGCCACCTGAGGTCATGTCACACAGCCAGACTTCAGGGCGTTGTGGGAGCTGATGAGATGAGAATGTTTTGGTATAGGCTGGTGAGTGCCAATGTTAAATCAGGTTTTAAACACCTGACTGGTAACAATGTTCTCACTCCACAGGAATGTTAGAAAAAAGCAAAATATTTAATGTAAAATTTTAAATACATGATAAAACTATTTCCATTCAGTATGAAAATGTCCTCCTTGCTCAAAAAAAAGAACTAATTTAGAAATAACAATCTGTGATAAGTTAGGTGTTTCTCCTGGCTTCCTCATCACTCTTCCTTCAGCGCGTAGAGGACATCATCCCGGCTCACATTCAGGCGCACTCGCAGTAACAGATCATTTCTACTGGCTTCTACCAGCAGAAGGCGGCAGGAGCCCAGGCGGGAGCACACAGCCATTGTCTCGGACACCGTGGGGTGCGGCAGACCCTCGATTCTGCACAAAGCCAAGTGCTGGCGGTAGACCTAGAAGGAGGCAAGGGAAGCCCAGGTGAGCTGTCAGCGCTGCTGGAGGTTTCTTGGTCTGTGGCTGCGCACGGGAGACCCACCGACGCCACCATCCGGAATCCCCTAAGTGTTTGGCTGGGGGCCCACCCTCACTCCATCCCAGAAGCCAAACCCGCCTGCTGAAGTGTTGCTTCTTCGAGGCCTGACCGATGGAATTCTGCCAGGATGGCTCTCAGGAAACCCTGCTCCAGGATGGAGGCATTCCTAAAGGAAGAAAGAGATGCCGATGCCCTCACCACAAAGCCTAGAGCCCCAACTCCACTTGTGAAGGACATTTCAAATCCAGCTGCTCAAACATGCCGAGGCTTTCTGACGTGGCTAAGGTTCTGCAAACCCTTACTCAGGCCCCTACCAGCTCTGTGATCCTGGGCAGGTCACTTTACCTGCCTACCTCAGATTCCTCAACTGTAAAATGGGGATGATAATAACAGCACCTATCTCCCTCCCACGGTTTAACATGTATTAAGTGCTTGGCACAGTGCCCCACACGTAGCAGGTGTGTGAGGAATGAAGAAAATGCTTGTTCCCTTCACCAGGACGGCACAGAGCCGCCAGGTCTGGAGCCTGAGGACCCGGGCCATTCTGAAAAGGGAAGGTTCCTTGGTCAAGGCCCATCGGGGCTGAGTCTCCTGCCTGATTCAGAAAAGCTCAGCGGGGGTGGGGATTGGGGGATGGACGTGAGGACTTGGGGAAGGAAGGGGGGGCCAGCAGCATCTGCAGGGTGTGTGGGCCAGGGCATTTAGGGTTAGTGGCCTCCATTACAGAGTGATCTGGCCGTCTGTTTGTCCTCTGCCCAACGAGGCAGTGGCATGAGGTGGTTTGTAAGGCTCCCTTTAGAGGAGGAGGAGGAGGAGGAGGTCAAATCAGTGGCCAGTGCAGGATCATGGGCTCTCCCTTCCCCAGGATCCAGGTGGCCCTTCTCTCTGGAACCTCAGGGCTGGGCCGTGGGGGGTGGGGTCAGAGATCAGACTCACCGGATGGCCATTATGTAAGAGGATGAAAACATTTCTTCCGCAGCTTCCAGGACATGGGCCACCTTGACCGGGCCTGAGGAATCTGGCTTCTGACCGGAGAACTCACAGATCTCTGTGGCTCGCCTGCAGATGTCCAGGCAGCGCCGGGCATCACCAGACAGGGCCGCCACCTAGAAGCCAGAGCACACTGTCAGGCATCCTGAAAACCAAGGAGACTCTGGATTTGGCTGTGTAAGTACTGAGGCCACTGGAGATGTTTCATGCCTTCATTCCACAGCGGGCAGACAGGGCTGCTTCTTAATAAAAATCTCTGGCAGAGGACTTTTCTCACGAGTTTGACACTGGGCCCTGTCTGGGCAACCTGGGGAAGGTTCAGAAGCCTCCCTTACCCAGTGTGGTCCCGCAGAGGTTAGACTGTCTTCCAGACCTCCCTCTTGGGTATATATTTCTGTATCTGAGAGGAGACTAGACTGTTCTGCCCAGTCGTGACTAACTCTCCAAAGACTTCCAATCCGGAGCTCTTATGAACATGTTCTCATTCCTGCATGGCAGGGAGAGACCCCTTGTGGCCTACATCTGGGAGATGAGCGGCCGGGGCTTAAGGGGCAGGCCCCGGAGGCCACACATCTGCAGGAGCACATTCTGTTCTGCCCGTTTTAGAATGGACTGTGCCAAACTGGAGGGTATCTGGAGGAAGGCGAGGGAGAGGGGCACTACCCATGAGGAGGGGTCCGAGGAGCTGGGGACGTCTAGCTTGGAAGGGGAAAGGGGGAGAAATACCGAGAATTGTCCAAGAAGGATCAGGCTTATTTCTTCTTACTTTATATAGCAAAACACTACAGATGAGGCAGAAAACTAGCTCTCGGCTCCATGGAAAGGAAAAGCTAAGTTCAGTGAGCGCTGTCCCAGATCACAGTGGGTCATCAGGGGTGCTGGAGGCTGGGATGAAGCTTTGGGCAGAGCTTGGCCCAGATGACCGTGAAGGTCCCTCAGGGCCTCGCGTGCAGCAGATGCTTATAATAAACACTTGGAAAATGCTGACCTTCCTGGACACCAGTTGGATGGCATCGTCTTCGAAGGCCTTCACCCCTTCCAGGCGGGACACGATGATCTCCTGCAGCTGCTTATAGGTGTAAGGCTGGAAGGACATCCTGGTGAGGCCCTGAGAACCCCCAAGGATAGATGCTCAGAGCTGCAGCTCCAGGGGGAAGCCCCGCCCCAGGTCCCCCCTTCCCCAGCCCCGCCATCGTCCTCACCAGGCGGCTGGCCACTCTGCCCATCATCATCCTCTCGGGCAGGTCCATGGTGTTGGCGATGGCCAGGACGACGAGCTGGCTGCCGCCATGAGTAGGCCAGTCAAACAGGTTGTATAGCACGTCCTGTTTCGGGGTCCACAGGAGGTCGAGCTGTCAGGGACGGGGTGCCAAGGAGACGTGTCAGTGCCGTTCCCTCGCAGACACTGACTTCAGGCGCTGGGCCAGGCACTTGAGCCCCCCTCCCAGCTCTGTGGCCAAGAGCGCGGCCTGGCCCCTCCTTACCTCATCCATCAGCAGCACCGTGGTCTCCTGGCCAGGGGCAGGCTGGCTGAAGTGCCTCTGCAGCAGCTCTGCAGCATGGCTGGTGGTGGCCTTCTGACCTGTCAGCTTCTAGATTGGGAAAATAAGCAGCCGCTGAGCCCCGACTGCCCCTGGTGCCCCTGCCTGGGCCGGCCGAGCTAAGGGCAGGAGCTCGGCTCTCCCTCATTCTGGGTTTAATCTCACTAGATTAAACGGGGGTGCTGCAATCGCAGGCCACAGACCCCCTCCCTCAGGGTAGAGGGACGACAGCAGCGACTCCTAGGAGGAAGTGTCGCTGCAGGAAAACCAGCAGCCTCCCCGGCTCTCCTGGAACCACAGCTGGGCTCCAGGCCACCTGTCCAGGCCGCTTTCACATGGTTCTCCTTCAGCCTGCCTTCTGGCCAGATAATGTCCCATCCCTAGTCTTGCCTGACGACCTCCTGTTTCCTCAAGTCTGTCTCTCCCTTCAGGCCCAGTCCAGGTCTCCCTAGCCCCAATCACCCCAAAGTCCTGTCTCCCTCTTCAGGCTGCTCAGGGCACTGTCCCCTGATGCCATACTCATCCCCAGCGCTCTGCACACGCTCAGTGCGGCTATCCGTGGCCCCAGTCCGTGCCCTGGCCCCGCCCAGTCTAGGGGCGTCCAGCTCACCTGCAGGATCTGCACGTAGGCCTGATGGGGCTCTGTCAGCTTCATGCCGTTGACCTCGACGTACTGGAAGGGGGGCAGCTCCTCTGCCTGGGCGGCCTGCTGCAGGGAACGCACCGCCTCATGCACGACGGCTGTCTTCCCTGTGCCAGGGACCCCAGAGATGTACATGCACCTAGAGCAGGAAGAAGAGCAGCTGGCGGGGCTCCGTGCCAGCTCCGACATGGACTCAAGGGATGTGGAGGGAGAGGGGGAGACGAGCTGACCAGGGCACTGCCCTTAGCCTGTCCTTGCAGACAATCAACTGCTTATAACAGTTAAGTCTTTAACAAATACTGGTTTTATTTACTATTTCTGAATCTTTATTCATGAATCTTCTGTCTACTTACCACATAAAAACAATTGGTGATTTTGGCACTCAAGGCCCCCCTAATCTGCATCCAATCTATGCTTGTGACCCTGTTCTGGCCAGACTAGACAACCCTCCACAACTGTCCTGTATCTTGCATGGCTCGGAGTGCCCCGTCCTTCACCGCTCGGCCTTTCTGGTCGCCCCTCCGAGATCCTCTTCCTGCAGCCTCCTCCTGCCCCATGGCTGTCAGGCCCCTGCCCACACAGGTGGTGTTGCAACCCCCCTCACTGGAGTGCTTGGAGGTTTCCCAGAGCTTCCCCACTACCACCCTGTGAGACAGGAATACATGCCCAGCCACGGGGTGCCTCCTTTACTTCTCTGGAGAAGAGCCCGACAGACCCACTGGCCACAAGCTTCACGAGAAAAGAACTGCGTCTTGTTCCACGCTTGTGGCCATGAGGCCCGTGACTGGAGCAGATGCTCCACACATGATAGATGCAGAGGCCCGAGGGCTCAGACCCTCAGCATTTCTCTGGCCACCGTTTGCTCTCAGCTCTCAGGACTCAGCATGGACCTCTCCCTCGGCCTCCCCACACCTCACACGCCCAGGGTAACTCACCCTCCCGTCCGGTCAAGAAGTTTGCTTTCCACAAAACTGTAGACATCTTGGAACTCCTGCTCCCTGCACGGCAGAGACTCGGGCACAAAAGAGACATGCAGCCTAGAAGGGGAAGCAGAAGGGCGAGGAAGGACATTAGAACGTGACAAACGGCCGGCCGAATCACTCTGTAATGGAGGCCATTAACCCTAAATGCCCTAGCCCACACACCCTGGAGATGCTTCTGCCCCTGGGCCTAGCCCTTCTGGCCTCCCTCTCCTTCCCCACATCCTCATGTCCATCTGACTCTCTCGGTCTACACCATCCCCCAATCCTCACCCCCGCTGAGCTTTTCTGGATCAGGCAGGAGATGGCCCTTGACCAGGGAACCTTCCCTTTTCAGAATGGTGGCCCATTCCCTTCACTGCATCCCACAGTACACAAATCAATGGTCAGAGCTTTGACTTATTTCTGTCTTGTGAAAATTAAGCCAAACATTTCCTGCCTGAAAGAGGGCACGGGGTCACTCACCTCATCCGGGCCTCTTCAAGTGTGTTTGTGGGTTTCTGGGCAGCCTGTCTGCGCCTGCGGATCTGGGGGGGCCTGAGCTCAGACTGTAAGAAAGGGGGATGGTCTGATGGAGACTGTAGCCAAGGCACTTGACCAATGGTGTGCCCCATCTCTATAGACCAGGAAGAGCGGCGGTGTTTCCACCGACTTCTCCCCAGGCCAACAGGAAACGTCAAGGACGCTCCTTCCCATGCTGCATCTGTTAGCCCATCTTTCATTTGCCCTGTCCACTCCCTGCCTTAACACCTGTCCGTGGGGGGGTTGTCTGGCCAGGGATGAACTCCGTGAAGGGCTGCTCATACAGCGCCACATCTACCCTTCATCCAACAAGCCTGGGAATGCACACTCGGGCCAGGCCCAGTGCCCCACACAGGGGAAACAAAGTCACAAACGAAGCCACCTCTTTTCTCAAGGAACTTCAAGTGAAGCACCCATGGGCTGGATCCCCATACCCAGAAGTCTTCAGTAAGGAGAGCTAAGAGCCAGCACTTCTGCCCTAGGGTTTGCAAGGCAGTTTATGACACTGTCACCTCATCTGACTCTGCAATGACCCTGTGGATCAGGGGCTGTTCTTATCATCCCGATTTCATGGATAAGCAAACTGAGGCTGAATGAGGTAAGGGGCCCACCGGGGTCTCATGGCTCATCAGTCCAATGCTCTCAGTACTCCACTACCCTGCTGCCCCAGAGGGGTCCGGACGACCACTCTAGAGGGATGTAAGAGGACTTACAACTCTGGGGCCACCCTCGAGCAGCCTTATGTTGCAGGGCACAGGACAGACCCCCGTGATCTATTATCATCCTGCAACAGGAACCCAGAGCTGCTGGTTCAGTCTGGTACAGGGACTAAAGAGGCATCAGTTGGCCAGTCAACCAGCCAGCAGTCATTAAGCATCACCATGTGCCATGGACTCTGTTAAGCCCTCAGGAAAGGCAAAAACAAGGCACAGGCTTTCCTACTTAGAGGGACCTTACAGATCAATCCCCTAAGGCCTCTTCAATCACTCCTCTTTTCATTCTTTCTAATTTTTAATCTGTCGTTATCCACTGGCTCCTTCTCAGTGGCCCACAAGCCATCTCATATCCCTACTACCCTTTTTTTTTTTTTGGGTGAGGCAGTCGGGGTTAGGTGACTTGTCCAGCATCATATAGCTAGTGTCAAGTATCTGAGGCCGAATTTGAATTCAGGTCCTCCTAACTCCAGTGCCGGTGCTTTATCCACGCCGCTATCCTTAAAAAAAACCTTCTCTACACCTCATCACCCCACAAGCTATTGGCCTCCATCTTTTTTTTTTTTAAGGCAATTGGGGTTAAGTGACTTGCCCAGGGTCACACAGCTAGTAAGTGTCAAGTATTTGGTCTGAGTCCAGATTTGAACTCAGGTCCTCCTGACTTCAGGGCCATACCCTATCCACTGCACCACCTAGCTGCCCCTATAGTGGCCTCTATCTCATCCTCCTCTCTTCCTTTTTCAGCCATCCCCACACAGCTGTCTACACCTGCTGCCTCCTGTCCCCTCCCTCTCATTCAACCCTCTGCCATCTGGCTCCTGGCCAGACCAAGTCGCTGGCCATCTCTAGTTGCCAGTCAGAAGGCCTCTCCTCAGTCTCTGCCCTTCTTGGCCTCTCCTCTTCTCCAGGACCACTCATCTTACTGGGTTGTGGTGGTACAGATCCTGACCAAGAGGAGGACCTCTTCCTACCAAACTGCTCTTTTTCATTCTCTTTCACCACATTTGGGGGTGTCCCCCAAGGCGCTCTCTCTCCTCTTTCTAGGTGATCTCACCAGCTCCCCCTGTGACAACTGTTCTGTGCTTCAGCCCCTTTAGAGGGATAACTGAGGCCACTGCCACATTCCTGGAGGCTGGCTCTGTCAGTCCTCACAGCCTGCCCCACCAGAAAATGGACCTGGAAGAACCTTACTGTTTTTTGGGGGGTCTTGGAAGGAGTCTTAGAACGTGTCTTGGAAGGGGTCTTGGAAGGAGTCTTGGAAGGAGTCTTAGAACGTGTCTTGGAAGGAGTCTTAGAACGTGGCTTAGAAGGGGTGGTCCGTATGGAAGACTTTCTGGCAGAGTGCTGGGCAATGACCGCAGCTCTCCGCCTTCTCTGGCGGTGTCGGGGTGTGGCCGTCTCTTCTTTCTCAATGCTGCTGCAGTCAGAGCCAGAGCTTTCTTCTCCTGGTGAGTACTCATCTTCGCCTTCTGAGTCACATCTCTTGCTACCTAAACTTCTAGGGAGGGGAGGAGGGCATGTTCATCTCTCACAGTCAGCATTCAAAGGCCAAACGAGGCCGCAAGAGCCTGGACTCCCCGAGGACAAGGACGAGCTGCTTGCCCCCCCCCTCCACCTCAGGATCTCAATGGACTTTCTAGACTGACGGGGAGTGGGGCTGGGTGGAAAGACAGCAGCATTTTCCCTGCACAGGTGAATCGTTACCTTAAAGTCTTCTTGGTCTTTCTCACAGACCTGAGCGGCTGCGTCCTGCGGCTCTGTGGGCTCTCACCCTGGTCCTCCTCTGAATCTGTCCTTCCGGCCACCCTGTAAGAAAGCCCAGAGACCTCACTGGACGCTGCCTGGGAAGAAGGGGAGCTCATGCACCCAAGCCCAGCAGCCTGGAGGAGGCAAACCTCCTAAGAAGCTGCTGTGGCGCCTGCCTTCCTAATAAGGACATGACTTTCCCCCCTGCTCCATGCGCTGGGCTCAGGTCAAATGCAGAGGTGACAGGTGCCCCAGAGCTTCAGTGACCGGCACTGAGCAGCAGGAAGGGGACCAGACTCGCAGTCTGAACACCCAAGCTTCAGTCCAGCCGCTGGTACTTCAGAGCTGTGTATGTCCAAGTGCCCTGAGCCTTGATTTCCTCATCATAAAATGGGACTATCATGTATACTGCCTAATTCACTGGGTTCACTCAGAGCTAGAAGGGATCTGAGATCTTGTGGGCCACCCTCCTTACCCATTTTACAGAGGAGGAAACTGAGAGCAGGTATAATTAAATGGCTGGCCAATGGACATGATGGGCCGGGGGCAGGCCACTGCTCTGACTCCTGCCTGAGTCTGCTGCCGTGCCCAAATCCCAGGGCTATGAAGCAATGATAATGACTCGTCATCTTGGATAAGATGCACCTTGCCCAGAGCAAGCGGTTCGCTTTAAGTGACGGTCCCAGGCAGTTTCTCTAGACCATAATACAACATCTGCTAGAATGAGACATGCCAGAGAAGGGCAGTTTGACAGTGCAGCTTCTAGAGATGAGCTTAGACCTTGCACTGGGAACCCAAAGTGTGTGACCTGGCTTATCGACACTGCGGTAAGAGGGAGGGTGATGCACTAGCCCCCAATGCCATGTGAGAGCTAAGTGAGAGCCATGCAGGACCGGCGGTGCCCGGACTAAGAGGCACCATCACGTGTGTTCCCGTGTCGCTGCTGTGAGCACACACGCCTGTCCTCACTCACCTGGGCTGGCTGAGCTTGGGCCTTAGTGTCATGGAAGGGCTGGTCTCCACAACCGCTTCGAAAGGAGCGAGTCTCATCTTACTAAACCTGGCTTCTCTCTGAGCTGCAGTAAGGGCTTGAGTACTGGCACTGGCCCGAGCTCTCTTACAAGGTGAAGGGGTCTCAGGCAAGGCCACCCTCCGTTTAGTAGGTCCTGAAGAGTTACAGGGACTGTTGGCAGGTGTGGGCTGGGCCAGCTTGAGCTTGGTGTGGGGAGATCTGCAGGGCGTCCTCTGGGGACCTGGCAGAGATCAGTCAGATGGGACAAAGGAGAGATTCAGGTTGGCATGACAGGCGAATCGTTCGCTATGAAGAACCACTGACCACAGCTCTACTACAAACCAGAGCACCGGCACCTCTCATGGCTCTGCTTGGGTTCACCTGGCCCAGGCCTAGCAGCAGAGACAACATGTCCTGCCGTCGCTGGCTCTGGGCAATCAGAACAGAAAGGGCTGAGCCTCAATTGCTCAGTTCCATTTTAGGCAGAAAACTGGACAGGAATCCCTTTACTTGATGCTGTCGCCAACTGTCCTCACCTTGTTCTCAAGCTTGAACTCTTTCTGATAGGAAGATTATTAGTACTAGCAAAGACCAACAATTCACTGGAGAAAATACACAGGAGACAATGGCCTGAGATGTCTACACCCAATGGGGCAAGAATGGTGGACGTCTTGGCAAAATGTCCAAGGGGAACATACCAGGCAAAAGGGGTGTGGGGGGAGCAGAGAAGTGCCATGTATGAAGAACATCTTATCAGCGGGAATAAGTCTAAAGACTAAAGTGGTGGACCTGGGGAGGCGCAGAGGAACACTGTATGTCGAGAAACATTGGTGTCAGGATCAATGGAGGTATGCTACAGACCACCTGGGCAGAAAAAGGAGAAAGATGATGACCAGTTCAGGAAGTAGAGCTCACCCTGAGGCCTTGGCACAGAGAGAGCCCTGATATCCTGAGGGGGACTGAACTATTAAACGCCCACTAGGGCTCTCCTGGCCAAGGGACAAAAACAAAACAAAAACAGAACAGCTGACAGCTTTTGGACTTGCCTCAATGACACCTCCACTCTTCAAAAGGGAGAGGAAGTGATGAGGGGAGCTGTTCAGGACCAGAAGCTGACCGGCAGGGAAGTATCATGGACCCTTGGAGGGAAGTGAGCAGGCCATCGGAAGCTTGTGCTAAAGGCCTGTCAGAGATGGGACAATGATAATGGACAGCATTGTAAGGAGACATAAGGGCAGCATCTATGTATTCTCAACGACTTCAGGTCAGTAGGCTGATTTGTACCCTGGCACACTGAAAACTTGGTAGAGACAGCTGCTAAGCGGTTATCAGTGGTCACTGAAAAAGAGGATGACAGATGGGCCTCAAAACTTGAAAGAAGTCTGTTTCAAAAGAGTGAAGAAGAGGGTAGAACCATCAAACTCTTACATAACCTGGCGACAAAGTCCAGAGCTCAACCTGGATTCCTCATGAAATTCTAGAGATGATTATTAAAGGGATGCTCAGCACTGAGAAAGGGAAGGGCCAAGCCCAAAGAGCCAGAAGAAGTATGTCTGGGGGAGTGGGGTGGCACAGTGGATGGAGCTGAATCCGGACCTCAATTAGAATCCTGCCTCAGACACTTGTCTGCCTTAGTTTCCTCCTCTGGAAAATGGGGATAATCACAGCACCTACCTTAGGGTTGCTGTGAGGTTTATAAAGTGCTTAGCCCTGTGCCTAGCACATAGTAGGTGCTATATATATTCAGACTTACTTCCCAGATCCAGCCGCTTTCTGGCCCGGGGAGGGGTGGAGGAACGGGAGGTTCGGCTAGCGCGTATCTCCTGGGAGGGACAGGACTTGGAAATGGAATGCCGGGACTCTATGCGTCCAATGCCCCGCTCAGCAGTGTTCCTGGGCCTGGCCCCCACCACCCTGGGAGAGGCGTTGCGCCAGGGGCTCATCTCATGTGACTTCCTCATCTCAGCAAGCAGCTTTGGGGCCAGCGGTCGAAAGCTCTTGTTGTCCCAGGAGAGTTTGACATAGAATGTCTGTTCATCTTTCTGCCCCTTCGGTACTGCCTCCTCTGGGGCCAGAGCCACCACCTGCATTTGATAGTATGAATTAGGAGGAAAAGACAAAAAAGGGCAGAGAACCAACATGCCACATCTCACTGACAAGGACGCTCTTTCTTCCCAAAGTCATCGTCACCAAAGCTTATGTCCACAATCTGAGGGTGAAAGTAAAGGCTTAAGGCAGTAAGACCAGGAGAAACATACATGTGGATTGACGCCGTGACCTGAAAGGACACACACGAATGACTGCCCTGGGCAAGTCCCCGAACCTCCCAAGGACCCAAGTTTCAAGGCTGATTCCACTCGTCTCACAGCCTCACAAATGCATCCTTTGTCCCAGCCTGGCAATGGCTTCCTTACTCTTGGGTGCCCCATCTCAGCATTTACTGTCCCCCTACCTGGAATTCTTTCCCTTTCCCCTCTACAGAGCCAAATCATCTCTACAACGAGCGGTTGGTTGGATGACCTCCAAATTTTCTTCTCGTTTTCCATCTCTGAGCCCACTGGACCACCTGGGATGCTAGGAGCAGCACGGTCAGCTCAGCCCGCTCAGGCCCTGGGAGCTCAGGGTAGCACACGGCACATGCCTTTAACTAACACTCCCCTCCACACCTCACACCCCTTCTCTTGGCAAAGCCAAGCTCACGTGATGATATCCAATGACTCCACCATTTTTCACATTTCCCAGAAGGCCCAAGTGAGGATGGGAGGGACGTGACAACAGTGGTTCAACTTCCCCGGCACACTAGGGAAGCAGAGATGGAAGCTGGGGACCACTCACCTGAACTGGGCCGAGGATGCTTTCGACTCTAATGTCCCTTGGAGGGTCATCGTACCAGAAGATCTCCTGTTTGGCAGCCTCTCGGCCAAGCAGCTTGCGCTTGCCAACGGGGATCTCGCTCAAGCGAATGAACCACTGGACCACGGCGTGTGAGTTAGGCTCAGACTCTACCGAGACTGGGCAGGAAGAGAAGAGAAACACAAGCACCCTTGTGGTGCTGGCACCGATGGCCGGCAGAGCCAGCATCCCCTAGGGGAGCCGCTCTTCCTTTTAATAACAAGCTAGCACGTCTACAGTCAGAAAGCCTCGTCTGAGCCCCTGCCACTTATTTCTTGAGGGCTGCTGTATAAATCACGAAACCTCTCCAACTTCAAGAGAGCTGCACTCTATCAGAGGCTCTTAGCTTGGGGCCCACGTGTTTCAAAAGCATATTTTAATAACTTTATTTTAGGTGCTTAAGAAGGTGATTCTGAGAGAGGGTTCATTGGCTTCACCAGTCTGCCTGTCTGGGCAGGGTGACCTCCACAGGTCTATAACCAACTCATGTGTGACAACCACAGGTGCCCAGATGCTTAAAGAAGCCATGCAAATGACTAGAAGTCCAAGGTCAGAAACGAATGAGGCCAGTCTTCAAAGAAGTCAAGAGAGCCTCAAAACAAATATTTTAAGAAGCTGGCCCCACCCAGAACAAATGGACACACCTTCCCCACCAATGCTGCTTGCTGCTCACTACCTTGGGGTCCTCCCAAACCTCATGCAGGTGTTGAGTGGCCACCCCTCCCCAAAAGCCCCACTGCCATGTCCACTCTCCAAGATGCCCCAGACCCCCAGGTCCCCTAGGATGGAGCCTGCCCACACTCTCCCATTTAAAACTGTTTCCTGCATCAGCAGTTCTTCTTGTTGGGGCCCAAGCTTTCCCTGGACCAACCCTCGGTACCCCGTCTCTCCCTTCAGCCCTCTATCCTGTGTGTCCTTCTGTGTCCCCCCGTGGGAGCTGCTCCCCCACCCCTCGACTTTACCCTGCACCATCTCCTGTCCAGCTTTCCTCACCTCCTCCTCAAGGAAGGGGCCTTTCCCATCCTGGTTCCACCACACGTTGACTGAGGTTGATGGTCATTTAACAGTTCCCTTAATCAGCTTTCTGTCTCTTACTTGCCTCATTCTAGTCCCACCCACTGGCTGAGAAGGTAAGAGGGACACAGCTGGCCTTTATCCCCTCTTCCCCTTCCTCTTTTCTAGGACTAGAGCTGTGCATATGTTTGAGTTTACTCACCCAGCCCTTAGCTTTTTTCCTCAGTCTAGACACAGATAGCAACATCTCCCCATTTTACACATGAGGAAACAGAGTACAATGTTAAATGATTCGCCTCATGTCACAGAGTTACTGTCAGAGACAGGATTTGGATTCAGGGCTTTCTGACTCCAGTTCAGCCCACTATGTACTACTGAACTAGCTGATTAGAAATAAACATCTTAAAAGCAAACTACCTGTTTTCCCTTTTTACCGTTCTCCCTTTTCAATAACGAGCTATCTTATAATCAAAACCATTTCAATCAACTTATTGAATTGCAGACCATGAGAGCTGGAAAAAGGGCAGTTTGGTGGCTCAGTGCATGGAGTGATGGGCTTGGGATCAGGAATACTCATCTCATCTTCCTGAGTTAAAATCTGCCCTCAGACACTCACTAGCCGTGTCACCCTAAGCAAGTCACTTAACCCTGTTTGCTTCAGTTTCCTATAAAATGGGCTGGAGAAGGAAATGGCAAACCACTCCAGTATCTCTGTCAAGAAAACCCCAGATGGGGTCACGAAAGAAGAAGAGCTGGAAACGGTTTCATAAATTATTTAGCCCAATCCTTTCATTTCACATACAGAGAAAAGTACTTTTCCATCCTATAAGGCATTAGATTTATATAATTGGTAACCTCTTTATTTCCTCTTTCCTTTCCAACCCATCCCCTTTTCTTTCTTTTTTTTTTGGGGGGGGCAATTGGGGTTAAGTTACTTGCCCAGGGTCACACAGCTAGTAAGCGTCAAGTGTTTGGACATCCCCTTTTCTTGATTCTGAGCCCACGGCTGCCGGTGGTCTTCCCCCCCTCACCTCTCTCTTTTTTTTTAATTTTAATTTTTTTTTTTAATTTTAGGCAATTGGGGTTAAGTGACTTGCCCAGGGTCACACTGCTAGTAAGTGTCAAGTGTTTGGTCTGAGGCTGCATTTGAACTCAGGTCCTCCTGACTTCAGGGCCGGTGCTCTATCCACTGCACCACCTAGCTTCCCCAAAGGACTTTACAGATTTTTTTTTTTTTGGTCTAGGCAATGAGATTAAGTGACTTGCCCAAGGTCACACAGCTAGTAAGTGTTAAGTATCTGAGGCCACATTTGAACTCAGGTCCTCCTGACTCCAGGGCTGGTGCTCTATCCACTGCACCATCTAGCTGCCTGGCCACCTCTCAAGGACTGAGATACCAAGTCTCAGAAATCATCGCCTCCCTTTATAACCCTTCCTCCTAGACCAGGGAGTTGGGGGCTCAGCCCCTCCCAGCAGCAAGGGCCCTAGCCTGGAGTTAAGGACAGAGCCTTGTCCCTGCCCTGCATTGCCCAGGGGAACTCACCATCCCTGGAGAGCTTGATCAGCTTGGCGATATATGGATTGTCATCGTCATGTCCCTCAACTAACACAAAGTCCCCTAGATTGATTTGGACTTTGATGTTGCTGCTTGGAGATGTCACACAGATACTTCTGCAAAGCAACCACAGGGATAAATTGGCCCAGAGTACAGGAAAAACAAGTCACCAAGATGCTCGGGCCAGATAAGGGAAGATGCTAGTCAAGCCCGATAGATCTATCCCCCGCCCAACAAACCTTCTCCAAAAGGGAAAAAGACTCATGGGGCTGTGTGCCCAGGGTGAAGAGGGGAGGAGCAGAGGTGGACTGGGGGCCACCTGGGCTTGGGCTAAGACCCTCCCTTCCTGGCTAGGAATAAAGGACTCAGCAACGTACCAGGAATAAGGCCTCCCCTGCCTGGAGAGGCAAACGGAGGCAAGGATGGCATACATCCACCCACTCCCAGTCGTGTTACAAAAAAGTATGCTCCAAATAGATACAAGTCTTTCTTTTAAAAGACAGGCACTGAGAATCTTCTTCCTTCACATGCCAGCTTAAGCCTTACCTTTTGTAAGCAGATCAGGGAAGACCCTCCCTGAGATGACCCCCAGTGAATCCTGTCTATAACATCATTGTTTGCATGTTGCCTCCCCCACTGTACTGAGCTCCTTGAGGGCATGGATTGTCCTTGGCCTTTCCTTGTATCCCCAGTGCCTGGCACAAAGTAGGCGTTTCATAAATGCTTGTTGACTTGATTACAACTTTGGGATCTGATTAGTAAAAAAAACCCTTGAACTTATTTTTCTCAACCAGTGGAAACCCCTGGTCCCATAGAGGCTGTGCCCTAAACACTGTTAGATGCTTCCCCAAAATCATGATGGCAGGAAAGCCCCACCTCAAGGGTTGGGCGCTAATTTGCAGACTGATGGCTTGGGAACCATCTTGATCTCTGACCTCCAAGGGCCCTGCAGAATCTACTTACTTGTAGAGATTGTGGTGAAGTTTCCTGTCATAGAATTCACAGTCAAGCCATGAATAACTTCGTTTGGCCTTAAGCCTTGTGAAGTAGTGCTTCTTCATGGCTTTTGATCCTGAGTGGGGAGTGAAGGAGAACAAAGCAGGATATAAGATTGAAAGCATGTCCTGGACAGGTCCTGTGATTGCAGCGGCGTGGGGAAGGCATTTCTCCCCACCATGGACGCCAGCAAGTTTGAGTGACTTGCTAGGGGTCCCACATTGGGCCAGAAGCTGGATTTCCATGCCGTGGCCTAGACTTTTTAGAGGTTTAGCCAGAAGGAAACTGTCAGCCTTAACACAATGAACTTGATGCCAGGCCTTGCAGGGATCCCTTCCAGTGTCTCCCCATCTGGGTGCTAGTTTCAAAGGCGTCCTTTCTTGTAAAGTGAGGGCTGGGCTTCCTGCTTCCCAAAAGGTAGTTACTTGGTGGACAGCTGGCCAAAAAGAGCCGCCTCTTTTCCAGGCCACCCCGAGTTCACTGGCTTTCTGACCTCGTGGCACCAGCTCTACAAACTGGGTTTTGGATGAATTGGGGGAGAAATAGTAGATTTATCCTCAGCAGGGGGAGGAAAGTCTTCCAGACTTTGCAAAATCAAATTGAACCAGGCCCTCCCCCCACGGGGCAGAGGAGACCTCCGGAGGGGCTGATTTGTAAGGAGCCTAGGGAGGAGAGAGGCCTCAGAAGCACACAGCAGGCGCTTCATGGATGCTTGCTGAATTCAATGAGTTAATTTGCAGGGCAAACCGAGACCACAGAGCAGCATTTCACAGGTCAAAGGGTAAAGGGCCGAATTTCTCCCCGGGCCTAGGAATGTTTCTGATAAAGACGGACCAAATGCCCTAGGGGATGGAGGTGGAGTTCTGTGGGCTACAGGACTTTTAGGCCCTGGGAAGGACCCAGGGCCACGTCCTCCTTTGACAGATGGGGAGACTGAGGCCCAGGGGAGGTCGGCTCCTCTCTGCAGAGGAGGAAACGCCTTCAATGACCCCCCCCAGCCCCTCCCAAGGGTGGATCCCAGAACTGGCCTTCCAGAGCCTCTGGTGTTTCCGATAAGGAACCCAGCCCCTCCCCCACACCAGGGCACTGGGGCACTAAGGAAGAGGGTGGGGGTAAATTACTCCCCCCCCAAAGTAGGCGGGGTCTGGACCCTAGAATGGGATAGGACAGTAGGTCCCCTTCCCTCAGTTTCCCCCCTCCGTAAAATGAGATCCCTGGACACCCCGCCCCCAGTTCAGGACGCTCCAGACCTAGTATCTCCTTCTTTGCCCCGTGCCTCAGTTTCCCCGTATTTAGCAGAAGGGGGCCGGCCTCCAGACCCCCCTCCCCCACCCTTCCAGGCCCAGCCCGCTTTGGGGCTAGGACTGCCTCCCCGAGCCTCAGTTTCCCCGTGTGGAAAGGAGGGGGGTCGCCTCCAGGCCCCCCTCCCGCCCGGCCCTCCGAGCTCACCCCCTCGCTTCTTCCGCGGCCCCGCGTGCGCGCTGCTCGCCCTCCTCGCCACCCGCAGCGCTAGAAAGAAGCTTGAAATAAAAAAAATTCGCGCCAAGCCGAACGTGGCCCCGCCCCTCGCGTCACGTAAGGCCCCGCCCCTTTCTCCTCCCCCCTACGTCCGGCCCCGGGCCTTTGTCTCCGCCTCTCCCCCTCTTCCACCCCTCCCAGATTCCAAAGGACGTTCGACGTCCGGGCGCTCCGCCTCCCGTCCTACGTCATCATCGAGAAGCCGCGTTTGGGCAGGTAGAGGCCGTGCCAGGTCTCTAGGAGGCCGCCTCAGTGACGTCATCTGCCTCGCCGAGACTCTCCCGCCCCTACTTCCAGCTGGGCTCGTGCGGAAGTGACGCAAAAGCGCCCGCCGGAAGTGCTGTGGAGGCGGCGCCGAGAGCTTCCCAAGATGGCGAACCGGACCGTGAAAGATGCTCACAGCATCCACGGCACCAACCCGCAGTACCTGGTGGAGAAGATCATCCGGACTCGAATCTACGAGTCCAAGTACTGGAAGGAGGAGTGCTTCGGGCTCACAGGTGAGCGGCTGCGGCTGGGCAGGGTGGCACTCACTGGGAGACGCCGCGAGGCCCGGGCCCCGGACGTCTCCCCGACGCGTCTCGAGCCACCCCGGGAGGCAGTGAGCTCCCCGCCCGGGGAGGTGTTCAGGCAGAACCCTTGGAGCTCGTTGCCGACCCTGACGTTTGGACCGTAACGGTCCCTCGCGTTTCTGTGTCGCTTTCTTCCTTCGAGCACAGCGGGGCTACCGTAGGCATTGGAGACGTTTGCTTGATTGACAGATAGGTTTCTGGAGGGCATTTTTGTGTGTATCCCCAGCATAGTCTCCAGCACATAGTAGGTACTTAATAACAGTCCATATAAGCGATTCTCCTCTTTCAGACGTGTAAGCTCACACTCCTGAGGTGGTAAGCATTAGGGGCAGGATTTGAACCCAGGCTCTCCGACTCCAGACTCTTTCCTCTGCACCTGGCTGGCTCCTCACGATAGATTCCAGTTCATACACGGGTCGGGCTAGATCTCTGGGGTCCCTTTCAATTCGGAGCTTCCACGATTCTAAGACACTGCGTAGCTCGGACGAGGGAAGACCGATGTGATTATGTTGGAGTGTTTCTGGGTTCCTTCTGCTTGGCCCGAGCAGGGCACAGCAGGAGCTGGTGGGAGGTCGGCTTCATGTCAGGACAGACTTGGAGCTGTCTGTGTGTGGTTTAATGCAGCAAACGTATGTTAAGCTTTTATTACGTGGCACCCACGGTGCTAAGTGCAACGAGCTCTCAACAGTGTGTATGCAGGGAAATCAATAAAAAATGTATACCTAGTAATTGTAGGGGGAAAAAAGACTCAGAAACCTAAATATACTCCTTCTGGCTAGAAGTATTATCTCTGGATCCCATAAAAATTCACAGATCTTTTAGTCACTGTGCTAGACCCTAGAATTTAGGACAAGGAGTCTCACAAAACCAGAGCTCTGGGTAAGGTTGCTACATACATGCTGAATGTAACCAGACGGATGCTTTGAAAACTCTCCACAGAACTGCCCAAGGGATTTTCCTGAAGCACATGGCTGCTCCTACTCAGTAAATTTCAGGGGTCACTGCTATTTCTAGGGTCACACGTGTACTCTGGCATTTAAATCCCTTCACACCTTCCCGGGTGTCTCATGTGCTGCTCCTGTATAGGCATTCTGTGGACCAGCCAAACTGGCCTTGCTGTTCTTCACGTGGGACATTCCATGTCTCCTCTCTCTACCTTAGCCCCATGCCTGGAATGCTCTCCCTCTTCATCTTGACCTCTTAGAATCCCTCCTTTCTTTAAAGTTTGGCTCAGCCACCACTCCTACATGAAACCCTTTCTGGATCCCCCTACCCCCAGCTGCCAGTGCCCTCTCTCCAAAAATCACCTCGTATTTGGTTTTTGCTTCTATGTATACATGCTGCCTTCTTTTGGTAAGAAGCCTTCTCTTTGAGAGCAGCACGTTTCAGTTTTGTTTTATATGTCTGGCACAGTGCCTAGCACGTTGTGTTTATTGAGGGTTGATATTGAAGAGAGGTGATGGCCTGCTTCATTTTTGCCTCTGCTTCCTTAGTACCCACACTGTGTCTAGCATGTGGCTGGCAGTCACTACTTCTTGAATGAATGCCAAGGCAGCTCTTTCAGACTTAGAGGCAGAGCAAACACGTCTGCATTGGGAGAATGAGTTTTCTCCTCGGTATTCCTGTCCTGGAGGTTTGACGTCATATGTTCTAAGGTTTTTCCTCAGCTCTAATATTATTTTGAATGATGTAGCTGGATGTTTGTATGTTGGAGGGAGAAGACATGATCTTGGAGCCTGGTCAGGCCTTTAGGACAGGGCAATACCCGGAGGTGATGTCTATAACATTGTCCATTGATGGGATCTGAAAGGCCAGAAGGGCCCCTTCCAAATATAGTAATCATGACTGACATTTTATGGTATTTTAAAATTTGCCAAATGTACTACACAGCATCTCCTGGGAGGCAGCTACTTCAGGCAGGATTATCCCCATTTTATAGATGGGGAAAATTTAAATGGAAGAGATTGTCACTTGTCTGTCATCTCTCAGTTAATAAGTGAAGAACCTTGATCTTCCTAACTCCAAATCCCTCTGTCCAGTGTGCCTCATTTCCTCAACCAACGTCACTGCAGCTGCTGTGATTATGATAACCTGGAATATATCGACAGTGTCATGTTTTTAGTGACACTCTCCTGAGTCCCACGCCAATGCCACCAGGAAGAACAATTTTTCAGGCTGTTGTTATCCCAGAATCCCAGGATGTCAGAGTTGGAAGGGGACTCAGAAATCATCTAGCTCAGTTTTGTTTTACAGTGGGAAAAACTGGGGCCAGGAGAGGTCCCACACTGCGTCAGGGTTCAAAGCACAGGGGCTCCAGGCTGCAGAGAGGGCAGGATGGTAGAGTGTGAAGTCAGGCTGGAAAAGGTAGATTGGGGCTAGATGGCAGAAGGCCTTAAATACTAGTGGAATTTGTAATTCAGTGGCACAGTGGGCAGAGTGCTGGGCCTGGAGTCAGGAGAGGACCTGGGTTGAAATCCTCCCTCACACAGTTACTAGCTGTGTGACCCTGGGCAAACCATTTCACCCCTGCCTGCTTCCGTTTCTTCAGCTATAAAATGGGGATAACAACAGCACCTGCCTCCGAGGATTATTGTGAGAATAGGAGATTTTGTTTGTAAAGCACTTGTCAGGGTGCCTGGCACAGAGAAGGTGCTCTATAAATGCCAGCTGTTATAATTGTCATTGTTATCATTAACATTTCTACAGGCATTAGGTTGCTGTTGAAGGGCCTTTGATAGTAGCAGGAAAGGGGATGAGAGCCTGGCCTTGGAGTATGTAGAAAGGAAACAGATGGTGAAATGTTGGAGGGGTAGAGTAATTACAGAACTTGTCAGCAGATTAGAGGATGTGGGGTACAAGGAAGAGGGAAGGGTGCCTGAGCCGGGTTGGCCTTGGAGTCAGGCACTAGTTTGGATCTGGCCTCAGGTATTAGTTGTCTGACCTTGGACACCCCCCGTCTGCCCTCTCTGGGCCTTGGATTCTGCCTCTAAAGTGAAAGGGTTGCACTAGGAGGCCCCTGAGGTCCCTTCCACATTTTTAGATCTGTGCTGCTATGAGCTCAGGTCTCGTAATTCCCTGTCCTTTGCTCTGTCTCTGATCGAATGCAAAATTCTCTGTTTGCCATTCAAAGCCCTTCATCTACTCATCCTGCCTTCAGGCTTCTTATACCTTACTCCCAGGCATGTACTTTTCAGGCTAGTGACACTAGCTGTTTCACTAACAAGACTCTCCATCCCTGGGCTCTGGGCAATTTTTCTGTCTGTTCTCAATGGCTGGAATGTTCTCTCTCCTCGACTTGACCTCCTGCCTTCTCTGGCTTCCTTCAAGTCCCAACTCAAATTCCGCCTTGTCCAGGAAGCCTTCCCCAATCCCACTTACTTCCAGGGCCTTCTGTCTCTTAATAATTTCCTGTTTATCCTGTATAGAGCTTGTTTGTACCTTGTTGTTTGCTTGTTATCTCCTCCCAGCAGCTTGTAAGCTCCTTGAGAGCAGGGACAGTCAGCCTCTTTTTATATCCTTAGTTTCCTTAGCACAGTGCCTGGCACTTATTACATGTTTATTGACTGACTGACTCTGGAAGAGCAGGACCTCCTTATTTGTTGATGGGATTGTAAACTTACAGAATCTTTTTGTCGAGCCGTCTGGCAGAAGGTATACACTTGATCTCCAAATTCCATTGTTGGGACTATACCCTAAAAGGGGTATACCTCCTGCTCAGGGGTTTTCATAGTCCGTGTTGTATATAATTACAATCGGACTTTACCTAAATGTCCAACAATAAGACATTAATATTATAAAATACTTTCATTCAATTAATAGCCTCAGTGTCCAAAGAATACAGACACATTTGGGAAAACTTTATGAAATATGCAGAGTGCCTAAAAAGCAGCCCCCAGAGTGTGGCAAACCCACAGTAACCATCATAGGACCAGGAATCCTGAAGAGGGGTAGGAACTAGGCGATGTTGCTTTGTACCTTGAAACTAATACAGATTGGAGTTGCTAAGCAAGGTTAGTTGACTATATATTATATATTGTTTTAAATAATTGAAACAAAGTGCACTAGCTGTTTCCTTATTAAATCGTTTTACGCTCCATGATTCTGCACTCCTTAGAGCAACGTCCTGGGGTGCCCCCTAGTATCAGTTCAGAAAGCCAGCCTTCCTAGGCTAGCGACTGTCCTTATTTTCGGGTTATGGGAATGGGTGAGGCTATTGAGAAGGGAAAGCTCCTTTTCCAATTGTTGCGTTAAGAGTTTTGTGAGACTTCTTGGTGAACATATCGAGCTGAGGTCCAAATTCTGTGTCTGCCCCTGACAGTTTCTGGAGGTCTGTGAGGTTGGCCTTGCAATTCCCTTGTCACTGTATCGGTCTTCTGGTTTCAGCGGAGCTCGTTGTTGATAAAGCCATGGAATTGAGGTTTGTGGGGGGCGTCTACGGAGGCAACA